TGTCAGCTCATGGCATCTAGTGTTATCTGGTGTCTTCCAGTGGCATCAGGGCCCTAGCAGAAATGCACTTTGCCAAGTCATGATTTCTATCTGAATTGAGCAAAAGAATGCTTAACTGATTGGCAACACCAGAATGACAGGTGAGAGGTTTAAATCAAATAGGTATAAACCACAAAGGTTCCACACTGACAGGAAATCTCTTTCCTCTGTCTCCCCTACTGGCGGGGCTCTCGTTCTTATCCTGGTTCACTTTCTTCTAGAACTCTCCTCAAATCCCACCAAAGGCAACTCTTGCTCCCTGTTCTATCTACTTCTGCCTGCCTGGCTTGATTTCCTCTTGAAGGAAAATTCCAAACACAGGAGATAAATCTGGATTCAGTTGGAATTACCACGTACTGAACACAATGTGTGTCAACCACTCTCAGAGTATATACCAAGCCCTCAAGGCACTTTGCAGTAACAACGCATGGTGTTGAATCCCATATGGACAGACCAAGCGGTGGCTCACACAACTCACAGATCAAAAGCTGCAAAAGGTGACATGAACTGTTTCAGAAAAGAAAATGATAGCATATAATCAGAAGCATCACAGCTGCTATTGTGGGGAGAATCAGAATGTGGCTGAACCTCAATCGTGTGTTGCATGAGTTTGCATTGATTGCACTTTGTGTAAAGCCAGGGGACCCTCATTTTCTCAGCATTTACAACAGATATAGCTCTATATCTAACCTGGATGTAGTTTTTTGTGCCCTGCCAATGTGGCAAGTGAGGATGTAGCAAGGTACCTGCATTGTCAGCCAGCTTCATAATGATAGAGAAGGACTTCCAGTTTGGTCTGTCACCTCAAGACAAGGCAGTACTAGTCACAAGACCTGACTGTTATCAACAGAGTGCTGTTTGATGACTTACAGAGTAGGAGAGAGGGTGCCCAGACCCAGGGGCTCCACAGGCTCAGGGAACAACAAAACCTGTGTCTCCCTGGTGGCCTGCCTCCTGCAGGGAGAGGGCCTCTGCCACAGCCCCTGACTGGGTACCCCTCGCCTGTGCAGCACTATATTATACTGCAGCGTCCACTACCTCCTAGAGACCACATCTGGGAGAATACTGACTAGGCAGAGATGGAGACAGAAGCCTTGCGGTGTCCTGGAAACAGACATCATTCCAAATTTTGCAATCTGTTTTCCAGAAGGCCCCATCTACCACTGCTGGTTTGGATCGCCTCTCCTGTCCTTTCTAAGCACCAAGGTCCTTGGCAAGGCTCTGTGCACATGCTGCCTTCTCACAAACCCATCCCCCACATTCAGTTCAGAGACAGCAACATAAAATGCCATGTTTCCCTAAGTGTGTCCTCTATGGGTAAAAATATGCCCATGGACCCTGAACAGTCCTTCTGACAGTGGAGATGAATTTCCACAGGACCTCTCTCCTCTCCTTTTTAGACAACTGGATAGGGTGCTTTGTAATCATAGATGAAAATATGTGAACACAAGGGACTCCAAGAAACTTCTATATCTCAGTGCCATGACTTGCCAACTGTGATATGGACATCTGTTCCTGGAGTGTAGAAAGCATACACCAGGACTGGGGATTTAGCTCAGTGGTACTGCGCCTGCCTTGCAAGTGCAAAGTCCTGAGTTAGATCCCTGGTACTGGTAAAAAAAAAAAAAAAAGAAAGAAAGAAAAAGAAAATAAGAAATCACACACCAAACTGGCAGGTTTAAACTGGCCAAGGTTATAGTGTAAAAATCCATCTCAGAGATGAGGTTGGAGGATTCACTTCAATCACTACCAACCCAATCTGGGGAGGCAACTGGCCTTTAGGACCTTTCCATTCTCAGAGCAATTCCCTTTTAACATTTGTCACTGAAATATTAACCACACAATCCATGCCTGCTCTCTGTGATGTAGCTGTCTGTCCACTTGTTTTGTAATCACTCTAACAGCACATGTAAAGCTCTTCCCAGGTCTCAGAGATGGCCCCTGCAGAAAAACCACTAAGACCTTGAGGACAGTTAGCACTGGGATGTAGACAGACTTACAAATTCGTAGAGCTTCTCTTACTTCAAAATTAATAATCAAGAATTCTAATGATATGCTGATGACATGAATGCTTGTTTCCCTAGGACATATACTGATGGCCCCACCCGACTTTGAAATGCAGTCACACAAAAAAACCTACAATAAATGATGGGTGGATAGATGACAGTGCAATAACCTGACAGCTATACTTTCTTGCTGGTCTGTGGCACTCACTATAAAACTCCTTGTATGTTCATTGTAAAATTCTATATGTTTTAGCTTTTTTAATTAAATAGGGGGTAATGGGGTTCTTGAGATGATAAACCTTTTCTATGGAGGGCAGGGGGAAGTACTCTTCTCCACTCAACTCTTAGGTGGACTCCACAGCAAGACTGAAGAAAAAATGAGAACAGTCACATTTGCCAGGCACTGCCTGCCTCTTCAGGCCCAAGAACACACACAAAACTGGTATAAATGCTGCCCAACAGCCCCACTTCCGTCCTTCTCTCAGTTCCAGGTGACCCTGAGAATTATCTGTGGATCTTATTAAGTACAGCTTCCTGAATCTTGGCTCATCACTTTGGAATCTGAACCTCTGGGTTCCGCCCAAGACACCTGCCTTTAAACAGTGCCCCAGTGGTTCTGGCGTCCCAGGATCTCCTGGGGACAAAGTGACAGCGGCTCACTCCATCCTCCCCGACACTTGCTCAGCAGCCCTGGGACCCCACCTCCTCTCAGCTTCTGGGCAGCAAGAAGCGGGGTCCAAAGTGGGGCCTCCACCACCTTCACTCCTTCACTTCAAGACACTGCCAGTTCAACAGCAGCAGAAGGGCTACACTGACAGTGGACTTGCCTTAGACGGGCTAGTGGAGGACTTCTCCAGGCTGAAATGAAATTACACTGCATAGTAACTCAAAGCTGTAAAGAAATACTAAACACTGGAAAGCTGACCACAAGGTGATTATAAATGTAGGCATTGCTGAATTGATGACTTGCGTATAGCAGTCAAATTCATAGAAACTAAGGTACATCATGTTTGCCAGGGCTGGGGGCTGGAGGGGATGGGGAACTACTGTCTAAGTGGTTTAGCACTTCACCTGCCAGATGTAAGGAAATCTGTGGGTGAACAGTGGTGATGTTGCACATAATTAATGTGCTTGATACTACTGAAAAGTACACTTGGACATAGTAAGATGGAGCTGGGGTGTACCCAGTGGTATGAAAGTGTGCAAAGCAAGACTTTGGGTTTGACCTTCAACATGACAAAAAAAAAGTGTGGGGCTGGGGGCTGATAAGTTTAGGGTATGTGTCATACCACAATAAAAACAAATTAGTGCAGGGCCAGGGATTTAGCTCAGTGGCACTGCACCTGCCTCGCAAGCACAAGGTCCTGAGTTTGATCCTCGGTACTGAGAAAAAAAAAGAAAAAAAAATTAACGCAGATACTTACACATCTGTGATCATTTTGCTGTAAAAGCCAAGGTAGGTGGCATGAGCAGTAGAGTTACTTCATAGGCTCCGGAGATCAACCCTAAATGCGCTAAAACAAATGCCTGAATCCTGGAAACCTAACCAAAGGCCATGGTACAACCTTCCTGATAAGAGTGTCTTTGTATAGCAGAATCTGTAGGCCACACCCCACAGTTTATTCCGGCTGTGTGATTTACTGGGGTTTTAGGCCCTCTCCTGAGCTGAGCAGTGATGGCTTAGTCACTGAGGTCACTCATGTGTATGCTCCATGCTGACGGGATGGATCCGTGGACACTGAGGGACGGCTGAGCCTCCCTGGTGAGCAGTGCCCACTAAATCTGTGTCCTGCCTTGTGGCTGGAGATCTGTCCATCACCTGGACAACTTTCCTGAGACAGTACAGCTGAACGCTTGTTCCTGTCTTCCTGGACTCTACCCAGGGTACCTTTTACTGCTGCTGATTTTCATCTGTATCCTCATTGTCATAAATCAGAACAGTGAGTGTAACAGCTTTCCTAGTTCTGTGAAACCTAGCAATTGACTAAATCTGAGCAGGGTCTTGGGGACCATCAGTACCATTTGCCTCCCAGCCAAAGATTACATGCAGTCTGAGCAGACACCCGTTCACACTCAACACCTACCTGAGATCCTGGGAGCCCAGATTGTTGCCTGGGGGCTGGCAACAACCCAGAGCCAGGGATCACTCATAGGTGACATGGGGTGAGCTGTTAACAGCTGAGCATCAGTAAATCCAATTCTTTCCTGGACTCTAGTGGTCAGGAAAGAATGGATGAGACAGGATTAGGGTCCACTTAAGACAGGTGGCTGAGGATACATCAGAGACAAGGTGTGGGACTGCATAACCTTTGTTCCTTTTCTCCAGCCCCATTGTGATTAAAATGTGAGTTAATGGATGGAGATGCTTGTTAGTTTAGGGATGCTAGATAGGGATCTGTAACAGACCTAGAGTCCCAGAGTAAACTACTCAACTCTTTGTTTACCCGGAACTGATATTCCAGGCGCCACAATTGTTAGAACAAGCTGCAGATGTCTGCTGACCATCAATATGTGACAGTCGACCACTAACCTTTGTCCCCTTTTCTTTAATTCTGTATGTTAACTTCCCCCTCAACCCCCTATAAAAACAGCCTCGGATTCTGAGCCAGTTGCCTCTCTAAGCTATTTTGCTTTGGGAGTGCCGTCTGGCCAGACTAATAAAGGTCTGTTTTCCAACTTGTCCGGTGTGTTCCTTCCCGGGTGGTTCTTCGCTGTAGTCAGCTCCTTGGAGCGTTTGGTAAGGCTCTTGGTCTTACATTCTGAAGGCACCGCTGGGATTCCTGGGTGTGCTTCATTAGTCAGCTCCTCGGAGCGTTTGGTAAGGCTCTTGGTCTTACATTCTGAAGGCACCGCTGGGATTCCTAGGTGTGCTTCACTATAGTCAGCTCCTTGGAGCGTTTGGTAAGGCCCTCAGTCTTACAAAGGGCTAGTTCGGGGGTTGGACCCAGACACCAGTTTGCAGCCACAGATGGTTTTATTTTACATCAGGTTCCCACCTGAGGCAGAGTAGGGTTTTGTCCCTCCTCTAGCGAGACACAGCACAGAGCTGATAGGGGGATGGGGTGTTCAGGAAAGCAAAAACACCTTGGTCGCTGGGCTGGGGCTGCCCTTCAGGCACCGAGAAGCTGAAGCGCTGCAGGAGGCAGGTGAAGAAGAGGAAGAGCTCCATGCGGGCCAGGGGCTCCCCAAGGCATGCGCGACGGCCTGTGGGTGGGGAAGGGGTTCAGTTAGTCTGGGGCCTGGGCTCTACTTCTGAAAGGAATCCTAGAGAGGGGTCAGGGATTCAGGCGCTAAAGTACCTGCTGAGAATGGCATGAAGGCCTCATGCTTCACAAAGTGGCCCTCAGCATCCAGGAAGTGTTCTGGGTGGAAGTGAAAGGGTTTCTCCCAGACGGTCTCATCCTTCAGCACCGATGACAGATTGACGACCAACCCTGTCCCCTGGTAAAAGATGACTGGTAGGAAGGTGAATTATAATAGGGGACACAAGTACCTCTATTACTAACCACATATAAGCGCACTCTTCCAGGTACACAAATTGACCCTTTGAGTTAATCCTCAGCCCGAGAGCTTCTTAGCACCTTCTCTGATCCAATGGCAGTTCCTAGTGGTAAGGCTCCATGGGTCCCCCTTTACCACCTATTTCTCTAAGCAGTGGCTCTTCCAACACACTTGACTTGTTTTCATTTTCATCTAGTACCCCAGGGGCCTGGTGGGGAGAGGGTGCACCGTCTGTGCTCTGTATCATGTACACCCAGGGTGGTCCTGGCAGCATCTATGAAATCTATGATCAGGTGGCCTGGGTGCTGCCTGGCCTCGCCTGGTAGTGGCCATGCTGGGGAAGGAGGGCCCAGGCCTACCTTGGGGATGCGGAAGCCCTGCACTTCAATGTCACGTGATGCCATGTGAGGCAGATTCACTGGGACGATGTCCCCAAAGCGCTGCACCTCGTGAATCACGGCGTTGGTGAAGGGCAGGCGGGCCTGGTCCCCCATCTCTGGGCGCCGACCCTGCCCGATCACTTCATCGATCTCCTTTTGCACACGGCCTGGACAGACAAGCACCCCCTTCAAACGGCAGGTCAGTCCCAGGGGGCTGTGCCCTGACCCTCTCCACCCGTGTTAAGGGCTGTGTTCAGGTGAGGAGGGCATCAGGTTTACAGAGGCCTGGAAAAGTTCGTGGTCTTCATGAACTCAGGCTGGAGACCCTACTGCTACTTTTCCTCCCTCTTTCTCCCATCCAGTCCCATCTGGGCTCACGCTGCACATCCGGGTGCAGGATCATGAGCAGCAGGGCCCAGGCCAGCGTGGTCGAAGTGGTCACCATCCCTGCCATGAACAGGTCACTCACAACCAGGCGCAGGTTCTCATTATTGAAGGTGCTCTCAGGGTTCCCCTTGGCCTGGGCCAGAAAGGGTGGGTTCAGGGGGTAAAGGGAGGAAGCCCCTAAATGACAACTATCTGTACCCATACACCTAGGTGCTGGGTACTGGGAGATACTGAGGCCCCACCATATCTCACCCCTCATGAGACCCACAACCCACAGCTCTTAATCCCTTCCTTAGAATCCACTCTTCACCTTTTCCACCTCAGCTAGGAAAGCACCAGTCAGGTCTTGAGGTGGCTGGCTCAAATCAAAGGTTGCCCTGTGCTCTGTCACCAGCTCATCCATCAGGGCCAAGAAGGCCTTCTGTGCAGGGAAGACCTTGGCAGCTACACCTGGGATTCTCAGGAGCACTGGGAATGCATTTAGCACCTGTGACAGCAACAGAGAGGAGAAGCTGGGAGCTGCCTGTCCCCAGTGGTCACCTGCTCCCTTCCAAGTACCAGCCTCTATACTCTCTCCTGGCCCCAGGATGCTGGAACATCCTGCCCTGGAAATTTCATGGGCTCATGGGGCTTTAAAAGCAGACAGGAGCCACAGGGTTTCACCCTCTCTGGGTCCCTTACCCTTGGCAAATTTCTCCCTTTAGTGTTGTCTTAAACTTTCCACCTCCGGGCTTTCCTCCTCCAGTGGCCTCTCCCAGATCCCCTCTCCCCATCACCCCTGCATGCCAATCCTTCTCAGCGGAGGAGGCCTTGTGCACAGAGCTGTCCCTGCAAGACTCTCTTGGGCCCCTCACCTGGGGTATCAACTCAAGGCCCTCTGTCAGAGTGTCCTCCAGCAGGTCCAGCAGCCTGACCAAGAGCGGGTCATTGTATTCGAAGCGACGCGCATAGATGAGGGAGGCAATCACATTGCATACCGCGTTGTTCACGAGGGCACCTGGGCTAAAGGGGCATCCTGGGAGCAGGGACATAGGTCAGTGAGTCCTTGTTGTCTATTCCCTTCCCACCCTGTCCATTTCTTGTGTGCAGAGTCCATCACTCACCATCCTGTTTGGCAAAGGCGACACAGAGGCAAGAGGCCTCCTCGGTCACCCACTGCTCCAGTGACTTCTTGCCCAGGCCTAAGTTACGCAGGGTGGACACGGAGAAGCGGCGCTGCTCACGCCAGCCAGGTCCATAGGGTGCCATGACCAACCCTGGTTATGATGCAGGCATATACACAATATACATATGACTAATTTTTTTCTGGCTGTGTCCTTCATGCCCCCCCCCCTCATTCTTCTCTTCCTAAGGGTAGACTCAATCCCAACACACCACACACTTAGTCTCCATTTCCAGGGTCCATTTCTAGGCTTCATCCTCAGAATTTGTTGGCATTTTCTGGTGTCCCCTGACAACATCATTGCCCCCATTAGACCCTATCCTTCCTTTGAGCACTGCCTCCCATGTCCCACCCTTATGCTTCCTCTACCCTACCATCCTTTGCCTTGTGCTCGTGGCCCGAAGCCCAGAAGCTCATTGATGGGCACTGGAGGCCGGTCTGCGGTGTCCTCGCTGTGGTTCACCAGCACCTCACGTACAGCCACCAGTCCATTGAGCACAACCACCGGGTTCCAAGCCAGCTGCAGGCTGAACACGTCCCCAAAGTGGCACCGCAACTGCAGGTGGAGGACAGGGTGCTCATCAAATATTGGTCTCTATGACATTTAAGAACCTATTCTCATTGCAGGACCCAGTCTCACTGCATAAGTCTTTGGGGACCCAGGTAGAGCAGTGCAAAGATGAGACTTGGTGCCTGTTTTGCTTTTCTTTATGGCAGTATGGATGGAACTCACAGCCTCACCCATGCTGGACAAGCACTGTACCAGTGAGCATCACTACAACCCAAGATCTGCCATCTCGATGCTGGGGGCCATGTCCTCTAAGGTCAGAGAATCACTATACATCTAGATCCCACCACCTAATTAGGACCTGCTAGAGTCACATAATCGTGCATGGGGTCCAGTGGCATCCCATTTTATAGATGATGAATCTCAGGTTTACAGAGGTGAGCAGTGAGGCCCAAATTCACAGCAGCATAAGATGGGAAGCAGCTCATGGCACCTCTCTCAACCTCAATTTCCTGATTGAAATGTTGCTCAGGTCCCTGCCCTTATTGAAAGAGCTTTCCCTGTGATTATCATCAGAATGGACATGGGGCCTACGTAACTTCCATTCTGTCCAACTAGGGGCCAAAACCACTGCAACATCCTGCTCTACTTCCTGGTCTTCATCCTCCCACACCTCTCCAATTAGAAAGTTCGAAGTGTTCCCAGGTTCGGATGTGCCCTCCCCGGGAAGCCCGTCAATCTGGTATCTCTTGGGGTATTATGTGCCTGTCCAGCCTGTAGCTCTGCCTACCACTGTCTGCTCCTGGCGGTGCAGACTGCATGATCTCTTGCTAGCCTGCACCCCAAATCCCTTACCTTGTAGAAGGAATACGGTATGTTGTGCAGGTCAAGCTGCAGCAGGTTGCCCAGCCCAGGCAGTGCCACAGGACCTGGCGGGTAGCGAGCACCCCAGCGTTGGCGTCGGTGCATCAGGTCCACCAGGAGCAGGAACACAGCCATGGCCACGGCCACCAAGAATAGCGCATCCCCGGTCAGCAGCCCCATGGCTGCCTTGCAGACCACTGGGTTCCTCTGGACACACCTGGTGGCCCTCACCACTCCAGGCACCTAGGACCAGATAGCACACCCTTACCACACCCTGGGCACGTAAACAGGTTAGTTCCTGTCTTATGCAGGAGATAAGGCTGCCCTTTGCCCAGTGCCAACCCACTCTGTTGACTCAGCTAAAGGGTAGAGGGAGTGGCTAGGGTAGAGCAGATACAAGAGAAGTTACAGCGATATTTGCCCTTCCTCTTGTCTCTAGGTGACACCCAGAGAGAGGCTCAGAGACCTGGAAAGAGATTAATGGAAGCTCACTAAATCTTTGTGCTGGGTTGGGTACTGTGGTATGGTTGAAAGTTGAAATGTGCCCTCCCCCAGGAGGCAGGTACATGATCCAGAGGAGGTATAGTAAAGTCGAGGGCTGACATGCCAAGCCAGTAGAACTTTAAGGGGAATGGGGAAAATTCATCAGGCTGGGGAGGGATGTTTCTTGCAAGCTTCATGGAGGAACTGCAGACAGACTGAAGGTCTGACCTGCAGTGCAGATCACAGCAATCTTGACCACTCTGGAAGACAGAACTTAAGATGAGGCCCAGGCCATACAGATGCCTTAGGAATCTGACGGCTGAGGAGGGCAGGATTCCTCCCTTTAGAGTATGCATGTCCAACCTTTAGGCTTGTCTAGGCCACACTGAATGAAGAAGTGTAATCTTAGGCTGCATTTAAATAGTTAACATAGTTAATGTACATAAGTAACCAAACTCCCTTTTTAATATTTTATTATAATACTAAAAAATGGGTAACAAACATAAACTAGTGCAATATTTGATACATAAACTAATTATCAATGTCTGGTTCGATGAACTGGTTGCAATTCTTCGGGACTTTCAAGGTGCTTGTCTGATCTAATTTCAGTCTTCTGATCTAAGTTTCTGATCTAATTTCAGTCTTGAAAATAGTTGTTGACAAATGTACATACTGTCAAAAGGCGACGTGAATAAGCCATGATTTCAAAGAGAGGAGTGACTGTGAACTGAGGGACATTATTCTCTGGGAAGAGAGGTCTTATAGAAGTCTGGCAAGTGTTGAGACCCACTCCACATAAATTTTGGGGAAAAATCATTTCATAGTTAAAGTATGACTATAGCTGTCTAAGGCCCAATGTTGCCTTGCCCAGAAGATGGGTATGGCACGGGGAAACATAACTCGGTTTTGCCTCCAGTCACAGCTGAGGCCTCAGGCACTCAAGGGCAGGACTACATCAGCTGAAGACTTCCTGGTTCTTTGAGAACCAAGTAGTAATGGAAGGTTTCACCTGGGGAGGGACAAGTTCCCTATCAGCTTAACTCACCCCACCTATTGTTGTAGGAATGCTCTCCTTTAGGCCCACATCAGCATGAGATTCCATTGACAAAGGATCACTGCTGCCCCCTAAGTCACCAGATACTCCCTCCAATTATTGTGTGTACCCAATGAATGATGGCTAGCTTGCAGGTCCTTGCCTTTGCCCACTCTGATGCACTGACCTCCTGGCCTCCCCATATACTTTGAAATTACACACATCTCTATTGTCTTTTGTCTTTAACCTTTGCCGTCCCCCTTTCTAGGCAACTGGAGGATTGATCGGCCACCGATAAGCAAGGAGATATGATCAAAATTTTCTTTAAATTGAACATCTGATTGCAACTCTCTGCTTTCCAAAAATTAATAAGTAAGCAACCATTTTTTTTTAGTAGTAGTGATGCTGTACATGTAATTATAACAACATTACAAAAGCTTGGTACATTTTTTTGTACTTCTTATATCACAGCTGCTAAAAAATATTTTACTGATTAAATTATTTTACAAAATAATACAACAAGCCTAAGTTTAGTAATTAAACAAGATACTACACTTGAACTTAGCCAAAAGGCTGTTTAGTAATAATAATTAAATAAGAAAACTTCCATGACTGCTTAATAACAATGAATGTCTGTCTTCACAGGAACACACACATGTTAGTAGACTGAAGTACCATTACTGGACCTTCTTACAGAGGTCACTGTTTTCTTGGTTCTTCCCTTGGGGAACTTCCCACCTGGGAAGGGAAGTCAACCTTGAGAAAAAAATTAGAAAAGATATTCAGCAAAACCCAGCCTGGCACATGAGGCTCAGCCACAGTAGGTGCTCCAGCTGAGAAAGGGAGGTGAACTGGCTGGACACAAAAAGCATCACAAACAGGAGTTTCCAGGCCTGGGCAACAGTCACTCACAGTCACAGGGAATTTGCAGGTTGTGCTCAAGGGCCCAGTCTCCTTAGCCAGACCTGCACGTCATGAGCCATAGGGACCCTGTCTGGGACCAGTTTCTCCACAGAACCAAGCAGCACATGACATCAAGACTGCACTGGAGGATAAGGACTGCAGCCTGGCTCACACTCCTAGGCAGGGGCTCCCCATATACCCAGCCATATATCATCTCCCAAAACCAAGTCACCAAAATGGACAGCTGAGAGGCATCACAGACTTTTCTTCCTCTTAAACCTTGACCAGTTAGCAAGTTCTACTAAATGCAGATTCAAAAAACTTTCAGACCCACTGTCTCATCTAATGGTCAATATTTCAGGGCAAAAGTCTGGCCTCAACCTCATGGCCTTGCCCTACCTCTGTCCACTTCAGCCCAAAGGAAGTTGCTCACACTTCTCAGAATCATCCATTCACACTGCCTGTCCCTGAAGGCTGGTGTCACCTGAGTGGACTTCCTGTGCTACTCTTAACCCAAAAGTTCACTACCCACAGCCCCTTGGCCAGAACGCAGCCATAGTAAGAGAACATTCCTTGGCTTCCTCATGAAAAAGGCCTTGTTTTTGACCAAAGATCCAGACAGAAAAAGCACTGTTTCTCTAGGGCTGCACGAGTCCAAGTTTCCTTCTGCTCTCTCTATTCAACATCTGTTTTAGGACAGCTGAGTGTGGGTCCTCTCCTCCACATTATTTGGCAGCCACGGGCAAGTCACTTAGAAGCTCAGGCTGCTTCCTCACATGGGACAATGATCCTACACTACTATCTCCCTGGATGACAGGTAGGAATTCACCAAGTAAGAACTGTTTATGAATAAATGACCCAATTTACCAAAATGTTATCGCCTCTGCTTGTGTGGAAGGAAGCAGAATGTGGTTGGACCTCCCTGCAGGGTGTTGCATGGCTTCGCATTGTTTTTACTTGTCTACACTGGGGACCTTCATCTTTTCAGCACTTATAGCAGATACAGGTCTACATATCAGGCCTGGGTGTTGCTCTTTGCCAACCATAGATGTGACAAGTGAGGCTCTGGGAAGCCCCCTTGTCAGCCAGCTTTGAAGTGACAGAGAGAGACCTCCAGTTTGATCTGTCACCTCAAGTCGAGGCAGCACTGGTGCCAGGACCCCACCATTATTGGCAGCATGCTGTCTGATGACTTACACAGCAGGAGAAATGGTGACCAGACTCAGGAAGTCCACAGGCTCAGAGACTAGCCAGACTAGGCTGTCCCTAGGCGCGCCCCCCTGCTAGACCATAGGCATCACACACACAATCAGCAGGTTCAAACTGGGCAAGTTTATAGTATAAAGATAGGACACCAAGCACACAAGAAGACTCACTTCAGTCACTGCCAACTTGATCTGCTGAGGCTACTGGCTTTTAGGACCATTCGTTCCCTCTCAAAACAACTTGTTCCAGAAGTAGTATCACACAATCTATGTCTCTGTGCTTATGGTGATATAGAACCATGGGTGATTGTTTTGAAATCCTCCTAATAACATATATAAAGCTCTTCCCACCCTGCAGAAAAACCTAAGATCTTTCAGGTAGAGCTGAAGTCAGACTTTCAGATACCAGTTTCTGTTATTTCAAAATCAATAAGCAAGGAGAATTCTAAGACTCTAGTTGATGACATGCATGCTTGACTAGTTTACAGAGATGCCCCCCAAAGCCTTTAAAATTCACAACAAAGAAAAATATGATGGACGGGGTGGACAGAATTGTGACAAAGTGCAATAGACTGATAGTTGTATATTCCAGCTGGTGGACTGTGGGCATTCACTGTAAAATTCCTCGTAGGTTCACTGTAAAATTTCTGTATGTTTCCATTTAACCTAATTGGGGTGGGGGGATGACGGGTGGTGGTCCTCAGAGATGGCCAGAAAGAGACAAACACTCCTCTCTCCATCCAAGTCTTGGGTGGACCCCAGGGCAAGAAGGAAGATACCAAGAAGAGCAGTCTCATCTGCCAGTCACTGCCTGCCCCATCAAGTCCAGAACCCTGGCATAAATGCTGCTGAAGTCCCCTGCCCCTGGCCTCCATCCTCCTCACTGGGGGTCGGAGGTCCTCAGTTTCAGGTGAGCTTATTAAATACAGCTTCCCGCATCTGACCTCATCACTTTGGAATCTGAACCTCTGGGTTCCGCCCTAGACACCTGCCCTTTAAACAGTGCGCGGGTGGTTCTGGCGTCCTAGGCTCTCACGGGGACAAAGCGACAGCGTCTCACTCCATCCTCCACAACACTTGCTGAGGGCCCTGCTGGGACCCCACCTCCTCCCAGCTTCCGGGCGGGCGGCTTCGGGAGGCTTCAGGCGGAGCCCCCACCGCCTCCACGCCTGCTGCGGGGCGCGGCCCGCTCTGAGCCCCATCTCCATCGGACGGACGGGCCGGGCCGGGAAGGCAGGTGCAGCGCCCGCGGCTCCGGGACCTCCAGGGTCCCCGCGGGGCTCGGCGGCCTGCTGCGCTCCGGGAGATGCCTCCTTGCTCTTTACTTGAGGAAACAGCGCCTCGCAGCGTCCTGAGGGAAACAGCTGCCCAGGCCACCCTTTACCTCGGGAGATCCGCGGCCCGGGCGGCGTGCAGAGACCGGTGCTGAGAGCGCTCTGAGGAGAATGCCAGCTGAGAAGGCTGCGAACCGGGAGGAGGCCCTCAACCCAAGCGTGTCGAGAGGATTTGGCTGAAGGGCCTAGGCCCTCACCGGATTTTACTTCTTCTGTGCGCCTGGAGGCCCCTGGGACCTGTAGTCCGCAAGTGTGCGCAGAGACCTCTGGGACTCGCAGTCCACCCATCTTCCCAGAGAGCCTCTCGTACTGATAAAGGGCCATAGTGTGCTCAGAGCGCACTCTGAGCAGGGGACTGCAGTGAGAAGCTTCAAGTAGTACAGAGAAGTGACTCATCACGTACAAGGAAACCTCGGTATGTTTCCTTGCTAATTTCCAGCTAATTTTTCATCAGAGACCATGGAGACCAAAAGATAATGACATAATATATTTAAGTTGTGAAAGAAAGTAAGAGTGGCAACCAAACTTTTTCCATTTGGCAAAACTGTCAAGAATGAAGGAGAAATCAAGACATTGCCAGTTAAACAGCATCGGAGGGGGTCAATTAACAGTGAACTTGCCTTAGATGAGCTGGTAGAGGACCTCTCTTGGCTAAATTGAAATTACACTAGATGGTAACTGAAAGCCATAAGGAAATACTCAACACTGGACAAGTTGACCACATAGGTGATTATAAATGTTGGCATTGGGCCAAGGATTTAGCTCAGTGGTTCTGCCACCTGCCTGGCAAAATGCAAGGTCCTGAGTTCGATCCCTGGTACAAAATAAAACACAAAGAAGTTGATATTAAAAGCATGGAAAAGATGTTCCATGCAAAGAATAACCACAAATGAATTGAGGTGACTATATCAGTGTCATAGATTTTAAGACAAAGAGATTACAAAAGAAAAGGATATCATACATGGTAAAAAGTTCAATCCAGGGGCTGGGGATTTAGCTCAGTGGTTTCACTGCCTGCTGTGCAAGTGCAAGGACCCGAGTTCCATCCCTGGTACCAAAAAAAAAATAAAAGTTCAATCCAGCAAGAATATATAATTTCAAACACATACTCGTATCCCCCATCCGATGTTTCAGCCAATGATGAACAGCATATACAATTGTTGTCCCAAAAGATTATATCACCTAGTGATGTCACAGTCATCTTACTGTGTTTAACACTCTGTAATGTTTTCAAAAAATGAATTGCCAAAGGACACAGTTCTTTGGCAGAACATATCTCCTTGTTAATTGGCACATGAATGTATGTGCCAATTTTCCTCCAAAATATGTGTATGGAGGCAAAGTGGGAGAACTGGAGGGAAAAGGAGAAAATACTAGAGTTGTGTAGCAGACATCCCTGCCCAGTACTAGCAGGCGATACGTGGCACATAATTCTTGCTTTCCATAATTCAGCTATATTGTTTTATATTGGGAGTCAGAGCGAATGCAGATTCAGTATTGCTTCTCTCCCGATGGCTGTCACAGAGTCCTAAGACCTGGTCTGTGAAGTGGCAGGGCTCAGCTGAGTTATGTGCAGCTGAGGTCAGCATGACCCCAATTAAAATCCTTTCCCTTGAATTATGGCCCCTCACTGACCCAATGGGTTGCTGGCTAATTGCACCTGGTCCCAGTACCTATTTGTTCTATCCAAGCAAGATAAACAGTACCTCCTCCCTTACAGCCCTGTTGGCACTCTCATGCCAGATGTTTGGCACTCTATCACTACATGTCTTCAAAGCATACGCTGCTCTTTTTCTTCTCACTTCTGTAATTAATAAATACTGGATGTCCTTGGGGGTCTTTCTTTGTTGCCCAGAGCAGTGTTGATCAGCCACACGACCCAGTTCTGAGTCTCCTTTCTTTCTTTATTCTTATCGCATGTGTTGTAATGTCTCATAGGAGGCACACTGCAGGGGTCTATAGTAATATCCCCTTTCCCGTTCCCTATAGAGTTGTAGTTAGAGACTTCAATAACACACTGTCAATATTGGACTGAACAACTATATATAGGAATATGACGGAAATTCAGGATTTGGACAACACTGTTGGTCAGTTGAACCTAACACATAGATGCAGAACACACCACCCAACAACTTCAGGGTACTCATCCTCCACAAGTGTGCATAGAACATTCTCTAGGACAGACCAAGCATTAGTCCAAAAACAATCTCCATACATTCTTAAAAAATAGACTCATATAAAAATATTTTCTGGCCAGTGTGGAAGAAGTATGAAATCAGTAGAAGGTAAATTGACAGATATGTGGAAATTAACCTGCATATTCTTTCCAAACAAAATTTTTTTTTGTACCAGGGATCGAACTTGGGGCCATGTGCTTGCACAGCAGGCAGGGAAACCACTGAGCTAAATCCCCAGCCACCCAAACAAATATTTTTAATTTTTTCCCTTAAATTCTTTTATTGGCAGATTTTAGGTAAACAATACATTTACATTTATCATTGGGTGCTTGTACCGCTACATGATGTATCTTGGTTCTTGTTTTTTTCCCCATTACCTGTGCACCCTTCACCTCCTCCACCCTTCACTATTTGAAACCTGCATATTCTTAAATAACCAGTGGGTCAGGGCCAAGGACTTAGCTCAGTGATTCCACCACCTGCCTTGCAAGCACAAGGTCCCGAGTTGGATCCCTGGTACCACAAAAACAAAAAAACAGAAAGAAAAGAAAAGAAAAAAACCCAATAGGTCAAAGAAGAATAGAAGATAACTTGATCGTAAACAGAAGGTCTTGAGTTTGATCCCTGGTACCAAAAAACCAAAACCAAACAAAACAAAACCTGGGCCAGGAATTTGGCTCAGTGGCACTGCACCTGCCTTGCAAGCCCAAGGTCCTGAGTTTGATTCCCAGTACTGGGGGAAAAAATAGAAAAAAACTTGAGGTGGATGGGAAGGAAAACACAGTGTACCAAAACACATTGCATCCAGGAAAGTAGGAATCAGAGAGAAATTTACAACTGCCCATACTTACGTTAAATATGAACAAAGATCTAAAACCAATAACTGAAGTATAGACTTTATTTATTTATTTATTTGTTTTTTTGCAGTACTGGGGATTGAACTCAGGACCTTGGGCTTGTGAGGCAGGCACAGTGCCACTGAGCTAAATCCCCAGCCCTGAAGTATAGACTTTAAACAACTAGAAAAAGAAGGGCATATCAAATCCAAAGGTATCAGAGAGAAGAAAATAAAGTTAGAACAGAGATAAAGGAACTGGCTGGGTTTTGTAGTCCAGATACTCAGGAGGATAAGACAGTCTGGGCAATTTAGCATGGTCTTGTCTCAAAAAGGGTGGGAGGCTGTGCATAAGGATGTAGCTCAGTGCTTTCTGGATTCAAGTCCCAGTGGAAGAGAAGGAGGGAAGGAGGGAAGGAGGGAGGGAGGGAGCGAGGGAGAGGGAGAATACAGAGTGAGAAAACAATTCAGAAAATTCATGATACTAAAATTGGTTCTTGAGAAACATTAACAAAATCGATAAACCTATTGCTAGGTAGAATAAGAAGAAAAGAGGGAAGACAACACAGATTAGACTGCAAAGTGGGGATATTGCTACAGATTCTATGAAAATAAAAAGGAATCCAAGAAAGTATTTAAAACAATTCTATAGTTTAAATTGGATAAATTCCTGGAGACACAAAAATCTACATAAACAGAACTAGGAACAAACAGGATCTCTGAATAGGTCTTACAGTACTAAAGAGATTGATTCAGCAGTAAAGATAATGTACCAACACAGAAAAGACCAGGACCATGGGGCTTCACTGGAAAGGAAACCAATCATTTAAAGCAGAACTAACACAAATGCTTGCCAAGCTTTGCCAAAAATTGAAGACAAGGAAACACTTCCTACTTCAGTCTACAAGGCCAACATTGGTCTGGTTCCAAGGCCACACAAGTATGCTAGAAGAAGAAGGAGAAGGAGAAGGAGAAGGAGGAGAGGGAGAGGGGGAGGGAGAGAGAGAATGGGAGGGAGAAGAACAGCAGACCACTATCCCTCATGAATATACATACAAAAATCAACAAAATACTAGCAAAATGACTGTAACAGTATTATCAAAAATTACAGTTAGGGATGTAGCTCAGTGATAGAGGCTTACCAAGCATTCTCCAGGCTTTGGGAATAATCACTAAAACTGCATATATACATACATACATACATATATATGTGTGTGTGTGCACACACGTGTGTAAGAATATATACATACATGCACATCTGCGTGTATACATTGTTTACCCATCACCTGGTAGAAATTATTCCTGGAATGCCATGATGCTTCAACATATAAAAATCAATCATTGCAATATACCACATTTACAAGACTAAAGTAAAAAAAAAATGATCATCTCAATTGATGCAGAAAAAGCATTTAACATCATTGCATACACATTCTTGAAAATTATCGTGTACAAGCCCTGGGTTCAATTCCTACAAGTGAGGGAAAAAAAATTACCCCTCACCCAGAGGACATGATTGCACCATGGTACACCGGAGTATCAGTGATTTACCCTCATGATTGTGTGGTTGAGTGGGGAGCTATACCTCCCTACCACTGCCCACCATCACCAGATAGTATCTGTCCACATACTGCTAGCTTAATAAAAGATCAAAACTCAAAATTTTCAGTACTGCTTCTACTGAGTGGTATCACTTTTCTACCATAAAGTCCAAAAGTCATGTCAAACCACTGTTGGAACCATGTGTACAAAGACCAGTAATCAATATAGTGTGGCACTGTTGTAAAGTAGGACGTACATAGCAACAGACAGAAGGCTTAGGAAAAACACCTTCGACAATGATATGCCACATATCAACCTTTCAATCAATGAAGAGCCACATACACACTTGGGAAGTGCTTTAAGATCATAATGAAGCTTAAAAATCTTAATCCCTGGGCATGCTGACCTCATATCATCATGTTACAATCATCTAAGATATGCAGGACAATAACATGCTGTACTGGCTGGTAGCCTAGAAGCGACATTGAGCCTCTAGATGCAATAGGCTGTATCAATGCAGTAGGCTATACTATCTACATTTGTATAAGTCCATCTTTTTGCACAAGAAGGAAAGTGTGTTCTCTGAAGGTACCGCTGACAGTAATCATTTCACCAAATATGGTGCAGCAATTGTCAACAAGGGTGCCAACACCATTCCATGAGTAAAGGATGGTCTTTCAAGAAATGGTGCTGGGAAACCTATATATCCATGTGTACAGGACTGAAGTACAGCCCTTAGCTAGCGCGCACACACACACACAAATCTTTAAATTTTAATTTGAAAGACCTGAATGCATGAGCTCAAATTATAAAAACTCTTACTACAAGAAAAAAGGCCAAAAGTTTCACCAAGTTGTGTTTGGCAATGATACCTTAGGATACCAGTGGCACAGGCAAGAAAAGAAAAAATAGACAGATTAGACTTCATGAATATTAAAAGTGTTGTGCATCAAAAGTCACCATCAACAGAGAGAAAAGGACACCCATGGAATGGGAGAAAATATTTTTTAGTCACAAATGTGACAAGACGTTAATATCACAACATTACAGAATAACAAAAACAAGATAACGCAATAGAAAACTGAGAAAAGGACATGAATTGACATTTCTCCAAGGAAAATATACAGTGTGGCCCACAAGCAAATGAAAAGACCCTCAATATCACTCATTACTAGAACAATGAAAACGAAAAGCACAATGAGATGCTACCTCACACCCATTCTCATGCCTTTTTTCAAAGAAATAATAGAAAACATGAGTAGGGATGTGTGGAGGCTGTGGATGCTTATGTACGCTTGATGAGATTATCAAATGGTAAAGACACGGTGGGAAAAAGTAGAGTGGTTTCTCATAAAACTAAAAAGAATTCTCATATGACCCAGGAATTCCCATGCTCATGCACATATCCAAAAGCATCGAAGGACAGTCTCTGAGAGGTCAGTGCACATCCAGGACCACAGCAGCATCTTTCACTATGGCTGAGAAATGGAGGCAATACAAGTGTTCGTTGATAGAGGGGTGGGTAAATGCCCTTGTGTGTGGGTGTCATCCCACGACCCCAGCTGGTTTCTGTCTCTGATAGACTTGAACCATGAAACACTGTATTTCCTCCGCATATGCACCAGTGACAAAGGGAAATATATTAATCAAGCCCAGTAAGAACAATTATAAAATATGATGTAATGAGTGTATTTGAGTGGAGTCTCTCAAATACTGGATCTTATTGTGCTGCACATACTTCTCATGATATGCTGTGAGCTGACCACAGCCTCCAGGATGAAATGAAGTGATGTAGGGGGGAAGAGCACTCTGAGGTGGCGTTAGGCTACTCTTGACCTTCTAATGTCAACCCAGCACTGTGACAGAGCAACAGTTGGTCAGATAACCAAGCGATCCGCAAGTCCATATCCAATACAGCAAGAATGTGCTGGACAAAGGTACCATTCATGTTCTTAATGAGCAAGGTGGAGGAAGGAGGAATGAGATTGATCAGGCTCAGTGTCACTCACTATTTCAAATTCACAAATTGTTTATTTCTGAAATTTTCATATAAGATTTTCAGACTGTGTTTCCCCCTCTTAAATGAACCAAGAAAGGAGAAACGTGAGGGAATGTGAAGACTACTGCATATTCATATCTGCTCCAAGATGAAGGAATTTTGAAGATATTATCTCAAGTGAAATAAGCCAGTCAAAAAAGACGAATAGTGTAGAATTCCACTTTGAAGACTTTCCCATAAGGGTCAAATTAACAGAAAGAGAAAGTAGAATGGTGGTTTCCAGAGGTAGGGAAGGAGGGAACGAGGGTTATTATCTAAGGGGTTTAGGGCTTCAGTTTTGCCTGATGAAGAGAACTGTAGATGGACAATAGTGCTTTTTGTACATTATTAGTATATTTGATGTCAACGAAAAGTACACCTGGAAATGGGTAAGATGGGGCTGGATGTGTTGCTCAGTGGTAGAATATCTGCTGACTGTACCCAAGGCTTTGAGTTTGACCCTCAGCATGATATAAAAAGAAAAAAAGTGTGGTGGAGGAAGATTCTAATTTTTTAGTAGGTGTCATGATACAATGAAACAAAATAAGAGAGCTACTCACACAGCTGTGATCCTTTCGCTGTGAGAGCCAAGGGGGCAAAACTGTACATTAGACTCACCATGGCAGGCTCAGGGTGTTGGATCCTGCATGCGCCAAAGTAAATGCTTGACTCCTGGTGGGGAGGAGGGAAACCTTCCCCAAGGCCTTAGACCATTCTTCCCGATAAGGTGGTCTTGGAAGAGCCATACGAGAAACGCCACAGGTTACGCCAGCAGGGTGCTCTAAGTGGGGCCTTGGACTACCTCCATATGACCCAGAATGGATGGAAACTGAGTCCTTGAGGTCAGCCATGTTGGTGCACCAAGCCAATGGGATGGACCTCAAGAAAATCCCTGGACGTCAAAGTTGGACTGCACATGCCCTGATAAGCAGTGACCACTACGTGAGTCACCCTTTGTGGCTAGGAGAACTGATCATCTGGGTGACGCTCCTCAGACAGCACAGCTGAATGCTTGTGTCTGTCTTCTTGGACTCCACCCCGTGTGCCTTTAAATGCAGAAGATTTTTTGATGTATATTGTGTGACTGTAATAAACCATAACATTAGGCTGGGGATTTAGCTCAGTGGTTCTGCTGCCTGCCTCAAAGGTGCAAGGTCCCGAGTTCCATCCCTGGTACCAAAAACAGAAAACAGAAAACAAAACAAACATCACATTGAGGATAAGAACATTTCTAGTTCTACTGTATTTTCTAGCTACTCACTGAACCTGATGGTGATCCTGGGTACCACCAACAGCATCTGGCAGCCCACCAGGGTCTCTGTTCATTTCCAAGAGAAACTCATTCACACTCAGCCCCACTGACACCCATGGAGCCCAGACTGCAGCCTAGGGTTTGCCACCAACTCAGCAGCCAGTCTTGGGTCTCCATGGGTGACACGGGGTGGGCTGTCACTTGCTGAGCCTCAGTATACACATTTATCCTGTGTTGACTCCAGTGATCAGGTCAGGATGAATAAGGCAGGGAATCGAAGCTGGCTTTAATCAGGTGGATAAAAGCATCACATATAGGGAGGATTGGACACAGACACTGAGTAAGAGTCACAGACTGGTTTATTATACATCAAGTCTCCCATCCAGTGGACAAGCAGAGGGCATGGTGCCTCTTCTAGCGGGATACAGCACAGATCTCGTAGGGGGATGGAGCCACAAGGGGTAAAGACATCCCACGATCACTTGGCTGGGGATTCCCTTTGGGCACAGAGAAGCTAAAGCGTTGCAGCAGGCAGGTGAAGAAGAGGAAGAGCTCCATGCGGGCCAGGGGCTCCCCAAGGCATATGCGGGGGCCTGTGGGTGAGGACAGGGATCAATCAACACGGGGCCTGAGCTCCTCCCCACCAAGGCATCCCGGAAGGGGACAGGGAGCCTGGTGCAGTACAATCACCTGCAGAGAATGGCATGAAGGCCTCACGTTTCACAAAGCAGCCCTCAGCATCCAGGAAATGTTCTGGGTGGAAGTGGAAGGGCTTCTCCCAGATGGTCTCATCCTTCAGCACCGAAGACAGGTTGATGAAAAGTATTGTCCCCTGGCAGAAGACGCATGGGATGAATGTGGACAGGGATAGAGGGCACAGGAAGCCTGTCACATAACATTCATAAGCACACTCTATGAGGCACACAAGGCTGTGGGATACAGAGTCACAGGGACCCTTTCAATCAACCATTAATCCCAGAAGCTTCACGGGACCACGCCTCATCACATGGAGAGGCTCCAGGACAAAGATCCCATGGGTCTCTACACTCCTACTGTTTTCATGTGCACAGGATCCTGCAACAACTCACCACTTGGGTTAGTTCATCCTCCAAATATGCTGGGGGATGAGTGGGGACAGGACTGCATTGTGTTCAGCACTACATACATTCAGGCTGGGCCTGGCAGCACCACTGGAATCCAAAGTCAGGTGGCAGAGTCCTTCCTGCTGGGGAAGGAGGGCCCCAGGCCTACCTTGGGGATGAGGAAGCCCTGCACCTCAGTGTCACGGGACGTCATGTGGGGCACACTCATTGGGACGATGTCCCCAAAGCGCTGCACCTCGTGAATCACGGCGTTGGTGAAGGGCATGTGGGCCTGGTCCCCCATCTCTGGGCGCCGCCCCTGCCCGATCACTTCATCGATCTCCTGGTGGACTCGGCCTGGACAGACAAGCATCGCCCCGGCACGTCAGCCCCTGGAGACTGCGCCCCAACCCTCTCCACCCGTGTGTTAAGGGCTGTGTCCACGTGAGGACAGCGTCACTCTTTCCAGAGCCTGAGCCAAGTCTCTGCTTTGAACCATGCATGGGTTTCCCAATGAGCTTGGGGACCCTGTCACCACTTCTCCTCCCTTGACCTCCCATCCATTCCAAGCCAAGCTCACACTGCACATCCGGGTGCAGGATCATGAGGAGCAGGGCCCAGGACATTGTGATTGATGTGGTCACCATCCCCGCAGTAAACAGTTCAGATATGACTAGACGAAGGTTCTCATCATTGAAGCTGCTCTCGCTCTTCTCCTTGGTCTGAGACAGGCAGACAGGGTAGCCTCAGTGGGAAGTGAGAGGAACTGCCAAAATGTCCCCCACTCTACACCCCTCAGCCCAGGTGCTGGGTCACTGGGAGGTGCTGAGGCCCCACCTTGCCTAATGCCTTCCAGAATATTTGGCTCACAGCCCTAATCCTTTTTCTCACAGCTGCCTCTTACCTTATGCACCTCGGCAAGGAAAGCATCAGCCAGACCTCGGGGTGGCTCATCTGGGTCCCAGGTTGTCTTGTGCTCAGTCAATAGCTCGTTAAGCAAGGCCATGAAGGACCTCTGTGCAGGGAGGACGTTGGCAGCCACCCATGGGATGTGCAGGAGCACTGGCATTGAGTTCAGTACCTGTGACAGCACAGACGCAGCTTGGGTGCTTCCTATGCTCTATACTCACATGAACTAGTCGTCTCAGATCCAGCCTCTTCCTGATGCTTCCACTGTGCCAGCATCCAAGCTCTCTCGTAGTGCTGAGTTGCCACATGGGACATCCCACCACGGAAACCTCAGGACCTTGTATGGTTTCCAACGTGGACACAGCCCCTTATACTCTCTGGGGCCCTGAACCACAGCCACCTCTCCCATTACTGTTGTCTAAGATTTGCCACCATCAGACCTTTCTTCCCGCAGTGACCTCTCCCTGACACTTTCTTCCCATCCTTCCTGCATGCAAATTATCCTCTCAGAGCCCTTCTGCAGGAAGCTGTCCCTCCACAGGCACCACTGGACCCTCTACCTGAAGCAGCAAGCCACTGTCCTCTCTCAGGGCATCCTCCAGGAATTTCAACATCCTGATGAAGATCGGGTCATTGTACTCAAAGCGGTGCGCGTAGATGAGGGAGGCGATCACATTGCACACAGCTTTGCTCAGCAGGGCACTGGGGTTAAAGGGGTGTCCTGGGAGTAGGAATGCATGTCATGATGTTGCCCCTTCTCCCTGTCACTTGTGTGCAAAAGTGGGTCAGGCCATCACTCACCGGCATGGTTGGCAAAAGCATCACAGAGGCAGGTGGCCTCCTCGGTCACCCACTGCTCCAAAGACTTCTTCCCCAGGCCAAGGTTGCGCAGGGTGGACACTGAGAAGCGCCGCTGCTCACGCCAGCCAGGTCCATAGGGTGCACCAATAACCCCTGGAATGGGAGCATGTGTCAGGTACCAAGAGTACTAGCCTGTGCCCTAGGATCACACCCTCACTCCTGTCTTCCTTTGTGTACCAGCCGACAGCTCATCTGCCACAAACTTTGTCTCCACCATGTGCACTAGCTACTTCTCCAGGGTTCATAGCCAGAAGACAAGGATTCCCACTGTCCCTTGAGCATATTACCACACCCACAGAGCCCTGTCCTTCCTTTAGTCACTGCCCCCAAGGTTCTGCCCCGATGCCATCTGTACTCTGTCCATCTTTACCTTTGGCTTTCGGCCCAAAGCCCATTAGTTCATTGGTGGGCACTGGTGGCCGATCTGAGGTGTCCTCACCGTGGTTCACCAGAGCCTCCCGCACAGCCACCAGCCCATTGAACACAACCACTGGAGTCCAGGCAAACTGCAGGCTGAACACGTCCCCAAACTGATGTCGAAGCTACAGGTGGAGGAGGGTCAAGGCGCCTGTGGAGCTGGGATTCCTGCCAGAATGCAGGACCCAGTCTCCCTCCCAAGACAATGGGACCCAGTCGAAGCAGTGCAAGGACCAGCTCTATAGTTTCTTTTCTTTTTCACTTTATGCTAATGAAGGTGGCACTCAGGAGCTCATCCATGCTAGACAAGCACTCTAGCCCCACTGGTGCCCAACATCTAGTCTCTGAATGCCGGGATCACATGTTCTCAAGTTCAGAATAATCACTGTAGATCTAGATCTGACCACGGAGCTATGACCCGGGCAGAGTCGAGAAACTGTCAGTGAGGCTCATTTGCTTCCTATTTTTCATATGAGGAAACTGAGGTTCACAGATAAGAGTAGAGAGGGCCAGGACCCCAGGGCAGCCAAGGATCTGATGCTGGTCACAGCTCCTCTCGCAAAATCAATTTCCTGATTCAAATGCTGCTTAAGACCCTCGCCCTGCTCCTCCACCCCCACCTCCGATGTCATCAGAAGTTACTTGGGTCCTAGGAAACTTAAGTCCAGAGTGTTCTCTGCCCCGGTAGAGTCTTCCCCAAGACAGGTTCTCTACTTCCCTCCTGTTGGGGTGCCAGGTCCTTGCCTAGCCTGAGGCTTCACCCACAACCTGCTATCTGCTGTTAGGGGTTCACAGGACCTTTGTTGCTCTCCACCACCTCCCTCACCTTGTAGAAGGAGTACGGCAGGTTCTGGAAGTCCAGCTGCAGCAGGTTGCCCAGGCCGGGCACTGGCATGGGGCCTGGTGGGTAGCGAGCAGCCCAGCGTTGGCGCCGGTGCATCAGGTCCACCAGGAGCAGGAAGACGGCCACAGCTATGGCCACCGACAACAGTGCGTCCCCATTCAACAGCCCCATGGATGCCTTTCCGACCACTGGGCTCCTCGGTACACACAGCCTTTCACTACTGGAGTCACCTGGAAGCAGACAGCTCACTCTATCACCCTCTGTGTATTTGAACAGGTTGGCTGTGCTGTTATAAACCAGCTAAGGCTTCCCTTTGCCCTTTCCTGTGAGACAGCGTGATTTGTTGACTGTGTAGCCAGAGGGTGCAGGGAGGGGCCTGGGCAGAGCAGCTACGCAGGCTCTTGCCCGTCCTGCTTCTTTCTGTTGATACAAAGGGCAAGGTAAGGACCTGGGAGGAGAGCTCCACGAAACCAGACACACTGGTTATGTGGGCCACGGTGAGAAGATGACGGGTGGATCGTTGCTTCAAGAAGCATAATTAAAAGCTGCTGGAACTCAGAAAGCTGAGACAAAACCAGCAGAATTTTGGGGATGTGGGATGGTATCTCAAGGTGGAGTACGACTATCACAGAGCCTTTGTGGAGAATGCTGCTGTCCAACAGGAATGGACTGGGCTCCAAGAATTCTCAGCACACCTCCAGCTGGTACAGCAGCTTTCTGGCCTATCTGACTGGGCCACAGAGAAACGGGTCACTGTGCGCCTATTCTCCAGTCAAAGCACACAAGCACACTAACATACAGGGAACCTGAGCTTGACCACCCTCTAGGACAGAAACTAAGACCTATTCCCAGGATTGGGATGCCTGAAGAATCTCAGCCCTAAGGAGTGCTCACATCAGGCCTCCCTCATGAGGAGCACAGATTCTTCACGTTAGAAGATGAGACAGCTTGTGCAGCGGAGTCATGGAAGTTAAAGTTTCTTTTCCTTTTTGATTTAACCAACTCTTTGCTTGCAAAGACAGAAGACTCTTGACTCCTCACTTAGACTCACAAATAGAAGGCTCTACCTTCTATAGAACCCTCTACAGGAGGTCACTATACCCTTGTTTCAAGACTTCAGGGATCAGTAGATCCATCTGGAAAGCCAAGTCACCTTGAAAAGAATTCAGAAAGAAGTACTGCAAAACCCAGCAGGGCCAGGTGAGGCTGTGTGACAGTGGGTGCTCCAGCTAGACAAAGGGAGGTGAGTGGGTTGAGTACAGAGACTTTTAGGGTCGTATGGTGGTGGGGCAGAGTTTTCCAGGCCTGGGATAATAGTCATTCATACTCACAGGACTAGGAGGTCGTGGCCAAGGGCCCTGTCTCTCAGCTCATGGACTACAGGGATGGGGTTTTAGAGCAGTTTCTCCCCACATCCAACCAGTACATGAAGTGTGGACTGCACCAGTGGGTAAGAACCAGAGTGTGGCTCTCTCTCCTAGGCAGGGGCTCCCCTTCTCACCGTCACTATTTAAATTTGCAGCATACGAGTCAACAGAGTGATCGATTGAGGGGCCTAACAGACTTTTCTCTTCCCCTACACCTTGACCAGTTGGCAAGTCTCAGCAATATCATGGTTCATAAAGCCCTTAACCCCACTACCTCATCTAATGCTCAAGATTGAAGAGGAAAAGTCTGAGCTCAGCCTCATGGCCAACAACTATCACGGCCAACCCCAGCCCCACTAGACCGCAACACCAACTTTTCCCAAGCATTTGTGAGTCCGTGTGTATTTGTGTTAACTTCAGTGGTGCTCCTAAGCAAAAAGTCCACTATGCCCAGGCCCTCAGCCAGAACACAGCCACAGCCATAGCCACAGAACATTTACTGAATTCCTCAAGAAAGAAAGATAATAAAGCAGAACATCTTGTTTATGAGTCATGGTAAAAAACACAGAGAAAAAAAAAACACAGAGAAAAAAATCACTATGGTTCCAGAAGCCAAACTTTCCATTCTCCTCTGCCTTTGACCCTTGCTCTTTCAGTGCAGCTGGGTGTGCAGGCCACTCTGCACGATATGGCAACTCTGGGCAAGTCACATGGAAGCTTGGCCACTTCCTTAATGGAGGGACAATTGTGTCTGTTACTACCTCTCTGGGTGATAGCTGAGTATTGGCCCAGTAGGTACAAAGTACAGACAAAGATCCACAATGCAGGGAAATCTCATTCACCAACTGGTGTGGCTCTTGTTCTTAGTCATGTTCACATTCATCCTGAAGCCCTAAGAGGTTAGAATTCTCCTCAAATCCCACCACGGTACCTTGCTCTCTGCTCTACCTATTCCTTCTGCCCTACCCTCTCTCTCTCCTTGAAGCAAAAGTCCAAACAGAGGAACCAGATCTGGATTCAGAAGGAACTGACACGTACTTAACGGATTATGTGCCAAGCACATTTAGTTTTTACAGAACTCTCAGAATACTTCCTTGCGGTAACAGTGCACACTGCTGGATCCCCAGGGACAGACCAAGCAGGAGCTCACAGAACCCACAGATCAGGAGCCTGAGAAGGTGACAAGAAATATTTCTGAAAAAATAATCCAATATTTCAAGAACACATCAAACTGTTTTAGTGAGAAGAATCAGAATGTTTCTGTGCCTCTTTAATCTCTGTTACATGGCTCTTCACTGTTTTACTTTCTCAAAAGACTGTGAGCGTGGTTTCAGCACTTACACTGGATAAGGCCTTGTTCTGGACTGGGTGTTGCTCTGCATCTACCACAGATGTAGTACACGAGACTCTAGGAACACAACTCCCTCATCAGATGGCTTCAGGTGACAGAGACAGGCCTCCAGCTTGGCCTGTCAATTCCAAGGCCTGGCAGTAGTGGCCAGGACCCACCATTGTCACCACAGCACTGGCTGATGACTTACACAGTAGGAAAGACTGGCTAAGGGGCCACCTAGACCTGTGTCTCTCTTCCCCTCCGCTTTGCAGCACTGTACTGTACTGCAGCCTTTCTTTCGGATAACGGGGATCGTACTCGGGACCTTGCACTTGCAAGGCAGGTGTGGTGCTACTGAGCTAAATCCCCGGCCCTCGAAATCCGTTTTTTCTTTTTTTCTGGTACCGGGAATCGAACTTGGGTCCTTTTGCTTGCGAGGCAGGCAAAGGAACCACTGAGCTAAAAGCCCGGCCCTCCAAATCCTTTTTTATACTTCAGATCCAGGATGCTCCCCAAAAGTCTCAGGTGTTCAGAGCTTGGGCTTTTCAAGGTGTTTGGATCATGGGGGTCCTATATTCATCAGTGGATTGAACCACAGAAGAATCATAGCTTTAAGAATCTATAGCTTTAAGAAGAATCCATGCTGTTAAGAGATCAGGCCTGATCTGAAGAAGAAAGAAAACTGGGATTGTGACCTGGAAGAGCATGTGTTCATCCCTAGCTCTTCTCTTCTGTCTCAGGTTCCACACTGCCATGATGCAAGCAGCTTTTCTCTGCCAACCCTTCCACCATGACTTTCCTGCCCAACAGACAGCAGACTATGCACTGAATTCTCTAAAACCTGTGAGCTGAATAACCCTCTCCTGCTTTCATTTATTGTTGTACAGTAATGGGCACAGGGAAAGGGAAAAAAGACAGCATCTGAACAACATCGAAGCTGAGAGAATACTGACTGGGCAGAAGTGGAGATAGAAGTCTCCTGGGGGGCCCTTGAAATCGGCATGTTTCCATATTGGGCAATCTACTTCCAGGTTCCCTCAGGGGAACACAAGGCCTCCTGCAACAACCACTCCACTGGTTCTCCTCTCTCCTCCCTTCTAAGGACCACTGCCTCATGTAGAACTCCCGCCTGGGATTTAGCTCAGTGGTGCCGCCACCTGCCTTGTCAGCACAAGGTCCTGAGTTCAATCCCTGCTACCAAAAAAACAAATAAACCACTCATGCAGAACTCCCCCTACATTCTGCCTCCGCACAGGTATGCCTTTCATGTCCAGGACAGAGACAGCAACACAAAATGTCATGACTTTCTTTTTAACTTAATGTTCAAAAGATCTCACTGTATATTCCAGGATGACCTTGAATTCACAGCAACCTTCCTGTCCCTGCCTCCTGAATATTGAGATTATACACACCATGTCAAGCTTTGAAAATATCTGTTTCCCTAAGTGTATCCTCTATAAGTAAAAATATAATCCTTCACATGAAACAGTGTTTTCGACAATGGAGATGCATTGTTTGGGGCCTGTCTCTTCCCTTTCAGCCAAATGAATAGGGCGAGGGGTTTATGGTTTGTAGCCATGGAAGAAAATACCTGGACCAAGGGACTCAAAGCCTCTATTCATCAGCACTGTGAGCTTGACAGCAGTGCTATGCAGCCCTATTCCCCTAAAGCTTAGAAATGACACACAAAACTAGTAGATTCACACTGGTTACATTTATACTGTAAAGACCTGACACAAAGCATGTAGGGTGAGGAGTCACTTCAGCTCATGCCTGTATGATCTGCTGAGGCTACTTTGGGATCCCTCCTTTCAGTCCCTCTTAACACAATTTTGTTTCCTAAAGTATCATTCAAACATTCTATGCCTGTGCTCTTAAGGTAAGCCTATAACCATGGCCAGTTTTTAAAACTTCAACAGCATATGCAAAGCTATTCCCACATGTCAGAGGCCCATCCTAAGAAAATCTGCTAAAACCCTTTGCATCTCATACTGGGAGGAAGAAAGACTTTTAAATATCTAGGACTTTTCTCACTTAAAAATCAGTAAGAAAGAAGAGTTCTGAGACTCCAGTTGGTGGTGTACATGCTAGAGTATTTCAGGGAAGAAATATACAATTAACTTTGTCTTGCATAAACATAAAAATGATGAACAGGTGAGTGAACAGAAACTTGATAAAGTAGAACCACCTGTTAACTATGTATTCCAGCTGGAGTCTGTGAATGTTCTCTGTAAAATAACTTACATGTTCACTGTAAAATTTCTGAATGTTTCAGATGTTTCCTAATAGAGCAAGGAGGGGGTATTTCTTCTGCGGTGGCCAGTGACTGCGGGTGTGTTTTCTGAGGAGGACATAGGACAGCAGAAAACTAGCACTCCTCTCTCTGCCCAGTCTTAGGTGGGTCCCAAGGCAAGAGGCAAGGTTCCAAAAGAGCGGTCACATTTGTAGACACCACCTGCCCACATCAGGCCCCAGAATGCATGCAGTACTGGGATAAGTGCTGCCCATGCCCGGTGGCCCGGGCCTCCATCCTCCCTGCCCTGGATCCGATATTCTCACTTCCAGGTGAGCCCGAGAATTATCTGTGGAGATTGTCAGACACAGCTCCCAGGCCGCATCCTCTAACCGGCGCATCAGAACCTCTGGGGATGCCCCCCAGCAAATTGCCCTTTAAACATTGCCCAGGGAAAATAAGAACCAAGATACATCATGTGAAGGTACAAGATCCCAATGGTGAATGTAACTGTATTGTATACCTGAAATGTACCAATAAACTTAATGGAAGAAAAAAAAAGCTAGTTGGAGGAAAAACAAAAAACCCCAACATTGCCCAGGTGTTCTGGTGAACCTAAGGCCAAGGATCACAGGGCGACAAAGCGACAGCGACACTTGCCGGGCGGCCCAGGAACCCGAACTGCACGGCAACAGGAAGCCTGGCCCGAGGCTGGGGCAGCGCCCGCGGCTCGGAACCACCAGGGTCCCCGCGGGGCCGGGCGGGCTGCTGCGCTCGGGGAGCCTCCTCCGGCTCTTCCTCGGGAAACAGCACCCAGCGCTCCCTCCACGGCCTGCGGGATACGGAAGCACGGCGGGCTGAGGACACGGCGAGGCTGGCGGACCCCACTTCCGCCTGTGCCCAGGCGCAGGATGGCTCGCGCCCCCGAGGAGGCCGAAGCCACAACCCCGCGTCGCGGTGTCTCGGGATGACAGGCCTTGCCTAGCCTCCCGGGTCGCCTTTTACCTCGACGAGACTAGCAGCCGGAGCGCTGGGAAAAGACTGAAGCTTCCGGGCTCTACTAGAAGGATGCTGGCTGAGGAGGAGCCTTGGAGGGAGGTTCGACCTCATGCCGCTCCCAAAATCCTCTGGGACTTGTAGTCCCTAGCGTGCGCAGAGCCCTCTGGGAATTGTATTCCAGTAGGCCCTCCCAGCGGAAAACCTGCCGTAAGAATTTTTAAAGCAGTAAAGAAGTGACTCATCTCATGAAAGGAAACCTCAGAGTAATAGCCAATTTCTCATCACTGATGATGGAAACCAAAAAACTATACGATGGCATATTTAAGTACTGAAAGTAAATAGACCGCCATCCAAACTTTCTGTATGTCGCCAAAGTATCCATTCATGAAAAAAGAGAAATCAACATTTAGAGTGAAACGAAAGTTGAGGGAGTTCATTCTCAGCGGACCTGCCTTGGAATATGTTGTAGAGGGAACTCTGCAGGTTGAAATGAAATTACTGAAAACCATAGAAGAAATAGCACTGCACAAGGTAGCAATGCAGGCAAATATAAGAGTCAGCATTGTTGAACTTTGGGTTAGTTTCTTCTCATTTTTACCCCTATATAATTGAAAACATGCATAAAAGTTTTACACATCTACGGTAGTAAGTGTATACTGAAAACAGGTGTAATGTGGATCATTAACAATATAATGATGAAGGGATTGAAATGGTTATGAAGAGTGAATTTGTAAAATATATAACATAAATTATTGAAGCTGAGCTCACACACCTGTAATCTCAGGAGGCTGAAACTATAGGATCAGAAGTTCAAGCCTCAACATGTGAAAATGAAATTACAAACAACAATTCCATGTAAAATATCATCGAAAACAACGAAATTTGTCAGTGAAAGATGTGCACAGTGAAAACTAAAACACTGCTGAACAAAGTTAAAGACAATGTCGATAAAGATTTTAGGAATTAAAATTGAGAAATTAAAGAAGAATGAACCAATGAAAGCATTTTTTATTGTTCATGGAAGGGATAAAATATTCTTCACACATCCAAAGAACCCAAAGCAATCTACACGTTTAGTACAACTCCTGTCAATATCCCAGCACTGCTTTTTGCAGAAATGAAAAAATGCTTTCTAACCTTATGGAGCGTCAAAAGGCCCCAAACACACAAAACAATCTTGATAGAAGGGTAGAAGTCTCACACTTCCTGATTTAAAAACAGTACAATCGGGTCCGGGGATTTAGCTCAGTGGTTCTGCCGCCTGCTCTGCAAGCACAAGGACCCGAGTTCGATCCCCGGTACCAAAAAGTAAAAAAATAAAAACAGTACAATCAATGTCCTGATCAATGTCCTCCTAGGCCCAGCGTGAGTTTAAAATGCATTGAATGCTTCTCACTTAGTGCACATGACAGCACCTCAGCACACTGTAAGTTCCAGTGATCCATCCTGGTGACCACGTGATGTACTTGAAGCTGCAGCCATTGCCACCGCCCTGCATGATCAGAAAGTGTCCTAGTGCATATTGGTAGCTTAGAAAAGGGGCAAAATTCAAAAAGTGAAGTACAGTTTCTAAAGAATATGTACAGCTTTTGCATAATCACAAAATCCAAGAACAGTTGTTTGGGAGCATCTGTACAAGATTACAGTTATTAAAAGAGCGTGGTACTGAAATAAAGGAAGTCATATGTACCAGTGTATGTACGGGATTCCTAGGAATAAACTCTGATGGACAATCACATGCTGCATAAGAATGATTAAATGAAAAACAGGCCACATACCCATGAGTGTTCTCATAAGATTTTATGGAGCTAAAAACTTCCTATGGGCAAGTAACATAATACTCATTGTGTTACAATTGCCATCAGCATTAAGTACAGGAGGAAGCTCTAATCCTAGCACACTGGAATGCTGAGGCAGGAGGACCACAACTCTGAGTAGCACCTAGGGAACCTAGCAGGACCCTGTCTCAAAACAAAAAATGAAAGGGCTGGATATGTAACTCCATGCAAAAGCTTGGGCTCAATGCCTAGTAACATGTTAAGGAGGAGGAGCAGAAGGAGGAGGAGCAGGAGGAAGAGGAGGAGGAAGAGGAGGAGGAAGAGGAGGAGGAACTGGAAGAGGAGGGGAAGGGATGGGAGAAGCAGTCCTATAAGAATTTGAAACTTAGGACCAACAGGTTCTACCATGTAACCGAGGTGTGAGTGGGCTATACCATCTAGGTTTGTGTATGTGCAGTCTAGGATTTCACTGGGCTAATAACTCTCCTGATGATGCTCTTCTCAAAATGTATCCCTTACAGGAAGCACCTCACAACTGTTTAGGGCCAAATGATTTTCAACAAGTTTGCCAACACCATTCTATTGGGAAAGAACAGTCTTTTCAAGAAATACTGCTGTGGATTGAAATGTATAATAGATCATGTGAAATAGGAAGAAAAGGTGCATTGGGGAAGGGGAAGTGGGAAGGGTAGGGGAAAGGAAAGAAAGGAATGGAATTAATACGAGAAAATGAAAAAATGGAAACGTCTTTGTAAAAGAGAAGGGTGGAGGGGTTCAAGGGAGAGCTGGGGAATGGGGAAAAAAATAAGAATCAAGATATGTTATGTAAAGGTACAAATCTCCAACGATGAATGTCATTATATTGTATACCTAACATGTACCAAGAAAATTAATTTAAAAACAGAAATACTGCTGAGAAAGTGGATATCCACATGCATATTAATGAAGTTCAAACCATAGCTAGCCGCATACTCAAAAATTAACTTTAAATTAGTCAAAGCCTTGAATGTATGTGTTCAAACTCTAAAAGGAAACATAGCACAAAAGCATCATCACAGTGAGACTGGCACTATCATCACAGGCAGGATACCAGAGACTCAGGCAAGAAGGTAAAAATACACGAATTGGACGTCATGAGATTTAAAAACTGTTGCTCATCTGAAGTCACTATCAACACAGGAAAGAGGCAATCAAATGGCAGAAACTGTGAGAAAATAATTTTAGGCCATATATGACAAGAGAGTAACACCTGCAATATATTTTTTAAAAACAAACCTAGAAAACTCCACTTGAAAATGAACAACAGACTTGAACACACAGATTTCTGAAAACAAAATATACAAATGGCCAACATAACCATGACAAGACGCTGAACAGCACTCATCATTAGGAAAATGAAAGACAAAACCATAATGTAATGCCACCTCCCGCCTGTTAGGATGCTTCCATCAAAAAAATAAGCACAATTGTGATTAAAAACAGCATGGTACTGGAATAGATTAGAAGATGCAGAAACAACTCCAGACATACTCAGCCACCTCATCTTTGACAAAGGACCCAACCACCCTCATTGGAAGAGAGATAGCCTATTTAATAAATGGTGTTGAAAAAACTGGATTTCAACCTGCCAAACATTAAAACTAGACCCATACCTGTCACCATGCACTAAAGTAAGATCAAAGTGGATTAAAGATCTAAATATTAAGACAGAAACACTAAACTTGCTGGACGATAAGTTAGGTAGAACTCTTGAAGATATTGGCATAGGAAAACACTTCGTGAACAAATCCTCAGTAGTATGGGAACTAGCACAAAGAATCAACAACTGGGATTTCATCTTATTAAAAAGCTTCTGCACTGCAAGAGAAACCACCAACAGAGCTAAGAGACAACCTACAATGTGGGAAAAAAATTTTCGCAGCTGTACCTCAGACAAAGGTCTACTATCAAGAATATATAAAGAATTGAAAAAATCAGACCCCCCCAAATTCAAAGACCCAATTAAAAAATGAGCATCCGAAATGAATAGACATTTCTCAAAGAAGTAAAAGCAGCAAATAAATATATGAAAAAATGTTCAACATCACTGGTCATTCGAAAGATGCACATGAAAACAACACTGAGATTCCACCTCACCCTACAAAGAATGGCTGCTATCAAGAAATCAACCAATAGCAAATGCTGGAGGGGGTGTGGAGAGAAAGGAACCCTTCTCCATTGTTGGTGGGAGTGCAGACTGGTGCAACCACTGTGGAAATCAGTATGGAGATACCTCAAAGAACTAGGACTAGAAGTCCCATTTGACCCAGCTATTCCCCTGCTGGGTATCTTCCCCAAAGAATTAAAAGAATCATACCACAGTGATATATGTGCACCCATGTTCATAGCAGCACAGTTTGTAATAGCTAAAGCTTGGAAACAGCCCAAGTGCCCATCAACTGGAAACTGGATAAAGAAGATGTGGTTTTTTTATAAAATGGAGTACTACTCAGCCATAAAGAACAAGAAAGTAGAGACATTTATAGCTAAATGGATGCATATTGAGGATATACTCTTAAGTGAAATAAATAGGACACGTGTGTAAATAATGAATAGTTCCTCTAGTGTGAGACACTGAAAATGTAAATAAGGATTAAAATATTAAAATGAATAATTGATAATTTGAAATAGGAAAAGGTCCAAAGGTGTAGGAGTGGTGGGAGGGAAAGAAGGGAAAGGAAAAAATATGAGAAAAGAAAATAAAATGGAAATTAAATCTATGTAAATAGGGAAGGGTGGAGGGGGTGAAGGGTGCACAGGTAATGGGGAAAAAATAAGAACCAAGATACATCATGTACAGGTACAAGCACCCAATGGTAAATGTAAATGTATTGTATACCTAAAATGTACCAATGAAAGAATTTGAAAAAAAAAAAAAGAAAAGAAGTACAGAAATAAGATCTCAGGATGTGGAGATGGGGCGGGTGCCCCCTTGTTGGGAATGTCAAATGGTAGAGCCACTGTGGGAATCAGTATGGGGGGGTTCTGACGAAATTAAGAATCGTCATGCGATCCATGGATATATCCACAAAAATTGAAAGGAGTGCCTCAGAGACATGACCCTTGATCATATCATTGTTATTCACAGTGGTTGAAGGTGGAAGCAATGCAAATGTCCCCTGGCAGATGAGAGCATCAACCAAGTGTGGGACAGCAGAGTCACTAAGCACCTGGGACTTGCTCCAAGACCCCACTACATGCGTGTTGGGGTTTGCCTACAGAACCAAACCACAAAATACTCTTTGTTTTTTCCCATGCAAACCTACTGTGACCATTAATCATGATGTGGCAATTTGAGTGGATTAAGAAATGCCTAGCAGATTAGTAAAGCAGAGTTGGGAAGGGACCGGGGAAGGCTGACACTTAGACAACAAACTGAGGGGGAAAGACCCACCCTAGTTGTCATTGGCAACAACCAATAGGCTTGTACCCTAGGTGGAATAGAGAGGGAAAGGAAAAGAAAGAAAAGCGTTTCCCATTTTGCAGAACTCCAGTCATCCTGAGCAGGACTGTCTTTTTCTGCCATTGCCTTTGAACATCACTCTCCAGAGATTCCCACTCATGACCTTCCAGGGAGCTTCCAGGCCTTCAACCGTGGATGGCTCTGCATCCTTGATCTCTCTGATTCTGGAGTTTTCATCTTCTTGGCTGAGCAGTTGCTGGACCCTCAGTGCTCCAGTGCTTCTGAGCTCACCTAACACATCCCCCTGCATAGTTCTATATGATTCTGTTCCTCAAAGAACCCTAACTAATACACACACCTATGGTGCAGCATAATATATAAATCAGGCCCAGTGACAGATTAGCAACAGTTACTAAGAAAACAATTATAACAATGTGCTGTGATGAAGGCATTTGAGTGGGATCTGCTCTCTCAGATATCGTAGTTCAGGGCACACACTTGTGGGATGCTGTGAGCTGATCAATGCCTCCAAGATGGGATGAAGGGAGGAAAGGGTGAGGGCACTGTGCAGTGGCATCAGGCTACTCTGGGCCTTCTAATGTGAATGCAGAACTGGATAGAGCAATGGTTGATGTGACCACTAAGACCACTATTAAGTCCCTGACAGGTCCCAAGCTGATACAGCATGAAGCTGCTGAACAAAGGTATCATTTCCATCTTTAACGAGTAGAGTGGAGGAGGGAGACATGAGATTAATCACGCTCCTCAGGTATCTCACGATTTAACATTTATGAATTGTCAATTTCTGGAATCTTCATATAAGGTTTCTGGACTGTGACTGGCACCTTTAAAAGGTACTGAGGAAGGAGAAACAGTGGGAATGGGAGGACTACTGGGCATCCACACAATGCAAAGTCACTCTCCCTTCAAAAGCAAAGAAGTAGTGGCATCTGCTACAACATGAAGGCATTCTCAGGATGTTACCTTAACTGAAATGTTGCAAGACTCCACTTTGATGACCTCCCCATTGTGATCAAATTCACAGAAACAGAAAGTAGAATGGTGGTGACCAGCGGATGGGAGAAGAGGGGAAGGGATCTACTGTCAAAGTGATTTAGAGCTCAGTTTGGCCAGCTGAAAAGAGATCAATGGATGGACGGTTGGTGATGGCTTTGTGTCCAGGATCAGAGGAGAATTAAGGCCTAATTGGCCTCCTCTGTGAGCACAAAGGAGCATGGCTGCACTTGGGTGAGCCTGCATAATAGGTAAAAGTTAAGACTGCTGAGGTTAAGTTGTTTATCAGAGTGTGCGCTAATGGAGATTGGGAAGCAGATGAATCTTGTGTTACTTAGATCAGTCCTGCCTGCGTTTGGGTGATTAAAAGGGAGGTAAGCCAAAGGCTCGGGGCTTCTCTGCTTACTAGAGGCAAGAGCCCCCGGCTACCCTCATGTTATGCTGACTCTGGCTTTGTCATTCATCCTTGTTCACCAGGGAACAAAGTAGCGGAGTCGCCTACAGTTGCACTTGGAACAGAGACCTGAGCCCAAGGTCGTCCACGGTTGTGCGCTATTCAGTAAACTCAGAAAAGGGCCTGGGGGTAGAGCTCGGTGCCACAACTGCACAAAGCTTCAGGTTTCACTCCCAGCACACCACACACACACATACACACACACATGCACAAAACAAAAGCAACAGAAGTGAAATATGCTGTATTTTAAGGAGATGTCTTAAAAATAATATTAAAAATAAAAAACAGATGCTGATGCATATGTAATTATTTTGCTCTCAGAGCTAAGAGGAGAGGCCTGGGCAGTAAAGTCACCTCAGCTGGCTTGGAGACTTCAGTGAAGCCAATGCAAAGCAGATGCTTGACTTCTAACACACTGCTGGGAGCCCTTCCCTGAGGCCTTTGAACCCCTTCCTGATAAAGGTATCTTTATAAACCTGGGGCTCTGAACTACACCAGAAGGTCCGTGACAGATATAATTTTTGTTTTTTTTGCAGTACTAGAGGGGTGATGGAGATCACCCTGAGCAGGCTGCAAATTTATGAATTGGCTTTTAGTAGTACAAGTCCGAGTGTGCCTATTAGCCCACAATGGCTTGCCTGAAGAACCGGCAGTTGGCGTGTGAGAACGGAACAACTGTTCAAGCCACTGGTCACAGCCGAGGTCTCAATGATCCGTGATGCTGTGACTTCTTAGATGGCAAGACAATACTGCAGCTAAGGACAACATGACTCCTACACAAAATTTCTATAGAAGCAAATATTAAAAACAAAACCCAAAATTCCCATTAATCCATGATCTGCTTTGTTTCTTTGTTGTTAGGACTCTGCTCACATCAGTGCTCTCCAATCCACTATTCCCTACACTGCTCTTCACCGCTCCAAGAAGCTGTGTGTTTAATAAATAGTGGCAAACTCCAGGAGATAGCGTCTTAGCCTGATGAGAGCTTGTTGACCATCCTGGGCACCCTTTATACGGTAAAGTTTTGTCTTATCTTTTGTTATCTTGTGCCATACCATTAGTCAAGTGATTGGGGATCTGATCATCCCCCAACAGTGGAGGCCTTGGGCTGTCTCCTTGTGTGTGACTCAGGAGTACATAGAGACTGAGTCATGGATGTCAACCATGTGGAAATGCCAACCCTACAAGACCAGGCCCCAACTAATGCCTGGGTGCCAAAGTTCTACTGAGCTTTCCTGATGATCAGTGCCAGCTATGTATGTGCAACCTTGCTGCTGGGAGAACTGACCATCATCTGTGACTCTTCTCAGAGAGCACAGCTGAACACTTCTGCCTGTCCTCTTGGATTCCACCTCGAGCATCTTTTACTGCTGTTGATTTTCATATTTCCTTTTCCTCTGATGAAACATATGAGTGAGTGTTACAGCTTCTCAAGTTCTATGAGAACTTCTCGCATCTCACAAAACCTGAGGGGTTCTTGGGGACCACCAGTACCAGCTGCCACCGGGTCAGGGATTGTGTTGATTCCCAGGAGAAGCCCAATCACACTTGGCCCAAACCTGATACTGTGGAGCCCAATTGCTGCCAGGGCTTTGCCACCACCCAGCAGTACTGATGGGTCTCAGGGTGGCATGGGGAGAGCTGTCACCTGCTGAGCATCAGTAAACCCAATTCTCTCATGGATTGCAGTGGCTGTCAGGGTGGATGACACACAAGACAGGGCTGGCCCAGACAAAGGGAGTCAGGGGGTGGACTCAGACATGATGGCGGCAGCCACGACATTGGTTTATTATGACTCAGGGCCCCAGTTGCAGGCACGTTGGGCCCTTGGGGCCTCTTCTAGCGGGACACAGCACAGAGCTGGTAGGGGGATGGGCTCACAAGGAAGTAAGGAACACCATAGTCACTGGGCTGGGGCTGCCCCTCAGGCACTGAGAAGCTGAAGCACTGCAGGAGGCAGGTGAAGAAGAGGAAGAGCTCCATGCGGGCCAGGGGCTCCCCAAGGCATGCGCGACGGCCTGTGGGTGGGGATGGGGTCAGTCAACCTGTATCCTGGGAGCCTCCCCTCAAAGGCACCCTGGGAAGGGGACAGGGACCAGGCACCTAAGAAGCAAGCACCTGCTGAGAATGGCATGAAGGCCTCGAACTTCACAAAGCGGCCCTCGGTGTCCAGGAAATGTTCCGGGTGGAAGCGGAAGGGCTTCTCCCAGACGGTCTCATCCTTCAGCACGGATGACAGGTTGGTGATGATCGTTGTCCCCTGGCAGGAGATCCATGGCATGAAAGTAGGGACACAGAACCCTGCCACTAAACATGCATGAGCACACTCTACCTGGCTCACACCTGGACTCTTTCATTTAACCCTCAGCTCCCTCTCTGGTCCCATGGCAGGGTCAGCCCACGAGGCTCCCATGGGAGCTCACACTGCCACCTGTCCCTGTGTGGAGTGGCTCTTCACATATCCAAAAACATTTATCTTTAATTGATTGTTAATTGATTGTTGTTATTTGAGACACGCTCTCAGTGTGTATTCCAGGCCAGCCTTCCATTAACTCTGTAGTCCAGGCTGGCCTGAAACTCACTACAATCCTCCTGCCTCAGCCTCCCGAGTTCTGTGATCACAGGCCTATGCCACCTTGCTCAGCATGAGGTTTGTTTTAGTTCAGTGTCTGGAGACTCTGGGGGCACAGGGTGGCACTGTCTGTGCTCAGCATTGCACACACTCAGCTTGGCCCTGGCCCCACTTATGGAATCCTGGATCAGAAGCCTGGGTGCTGCCTGGCCTCACCAGTAGTGGCCATGCTGGGGAAGGAGGGCCCCAGGCCTACCTTGGGGATGAGGAAGCCCTGCACCTCAGTGTCACGGGACGTCATGTGGGGCACACTCATTGGGATGATGTCCCCAAAGCGCTGCACCTCGTGAATCACGGCGTTGGTGAAGGGCATGTGGGCCTGGTCCCCCATCTCTGGGCGCCGCCCCTGCCCGATCACTTCATCGATCTCCTGGTGGACTCGGCCTGGACAGACAAGCATCCCCTGGCAGGTCAGGGGGCTGTGCCCTGACCTTATCTACCCCTGTGGTTAGGGCTCTGATCAGGTGGGGAGGGCGTGGGGCTTACAGGAACCTGGGGAAGCCTATGCTTGGAGACATGGGTGGCACAGCTCATCTTGGGGACCCTGCCACTACTTTGCCTCGCTCATGCTCCCATCCAGCCCCAGCTGGGCTCACGCTGCACATCTGGATGGAGGATCATGAGCAGCAGGGCCCAGGCCAGCGTGGTTGATGTGGTCGCCATCCCTGCCGTGAACAGGTCAGTCACAACCATGCGCAGGTTCTCATCATTGAAGCTGCTCTCAGGGTTCCCCTTGGCCTGAGCCAGGAAGAGCGTGAGCTCAGAGGAACCACGGAGGAAAGCACACAATGGTCTTTGTTTCCCACCAACCCACCCATTGTTAGGTCTCCTGAGATACCCAGGCCCCACCTTCCCTGCTATCAAACTAGCTGATCCCCAGCACAGAGCCCCTTGCCTCATCTATAGGAAAGGCTTCTCACCTTCTCCACCTCGGTCAAGAAGACATCAGTCAGGTCTCGGGGTGGTTGGTTTGGGTCGTGGGTCATCTTGTGCTCTGTCAACAGCTCATCTATCAGGGCCAACAAGGCCTTTTGTCCAGGCAAGGCCTTCTCAGCCACTCCAGGGATGCGCAGGAGCATGGGGACTGCGTTCAGTACCTGTGACAACCACAAAAAGTGGTTGGATTCTGTCTCTGTTCACCACTTAGAAGGAGCAGCCTCAGGTCACAGATTTCTCAGGGGTACACCCAGGGCCTGCCCTTGTCCACGGGTGACCTGCCTCCTGCACACACTCTTCTGGCCTGGCTTGCCAGAAGGAAGGTCATACCATGGAAATCTCATGAATGTGAACACGAGGTACCAGGCGTCCTCTCTGGAGTCCCTACACTGGCCACCTCTCCCACGACTGTTGCCTGACATTTCCCACCTCCAGCCCTTTCCTCCTGTGCTGTCTTCTCCCGGATGCCCTGTCCCCATTGCCCCTGCACGCACATCTGCCTCCTTCCATAGACTTCCCTGAGCCCCTCACCTGGGGCATCAAGCCTGAGTCCTCCTTCAAAGAATCCTCCAGCAGGTCCATCATCCTGATGAGGGCTGGGTCATCGTACTCAAAGCGGCGAGCGTAGATGAGGGAGGCGATCACGTTACACACTGCTTGGCTCAGGAGGGTGTTGGGGCTAAAAGCACGTCCTGAAATAGGGATGTATGTCATGGTGTTGCCCCTTATGTCACTGCCTTGTCCCTTCCTGGTGTCCTTCAGCTCATCACCCACCGTCCTGGTTGGCAAAGGCGGCACAGAGGCAGGAGGCCTCCTTGGTCACCCACTGCTCCAGCGACTTCTTGCCCAGGCCGAAGTTGCGCAGAGTGGACACAGAGAAGCGGCGCTGTTCACGCCAGGCGGGTCCATAGGGTGCCATGACCACTCCTGGGGATGAGGTGAGCATGTGAGTGTGACCAAGTACAGGAAGCCTTTGTGCCCTCACCCTTCTTCTGCTCCTCTGGGTACAGGGTCTCCCCAAACCACCAAGCATAAAGCCCACCACCCGACACTGGGTACTTTTCCAGAATTTGCCCCAGGAACCCAGGACTGTTCCTTGTGTCCCTGACCACATCACTGCTCCCATTAGGCCCCATCCTCCCACTGGTCACTGTCCCTGAGTTGCTCTGATGCCCTCTGTGCCCCTCCACCCTTTGCCTGTGGAATTCTGTCTTAAGCCCAGGTGCTCATAGATGGGCATGGGTGGCCGGTCAGCGGTGTCCTCGCTGTGATTCACCAGGGCCTCTCGCACGGCCTGCAGTCCATTGACCACGACCACTGGCTTCCAGGCCAGCTGCAGGCTGAACACGTCTCCGAAGCGATTTCGCAGCTGTAGGTGTTAGGTCAGGGTGCTTGTCGATTTCCTGCCTGAGGGCTGTTCAGGTCCCTGGCCCCACTTCCCCAGCCCAGAACCTTTCCCTCTGTGTCACTGGGAGATACCTGGGCCTTATCCAAATTCTGCCTTATCCACCCAGCCTGAATGCTCGTGACTGTCCACATCCTGGCCTTTGGCCGCCCACATATTTATCCTTGGAAAGTTCAAACTTTCCCCAGAACCTGCAGTCCCCTCCCCCAGAAACCCTCTCCACCCACTTTTCTTGGGGTCCCAGGTCACTGTCCAGCCTGAGGCTTAGCCCACCATACACTGGCTGAAGGTAGGAGTCACTGTGACCTCTGCCACCAACGTATCTATGTCCCTCACCTTGTAGCAGGAGTAAGCCATGTTCTGGAAGTCCACCTGCAGAAGGTTGCCCAGCCCGGGTACTGGCATGGGGCCTGGCGGGTAGCGAGCAGCCCAGCGTTGGCGCCGGTGCATCAGATCCACCAGGAGCAGGAAGATGGCCACGGCCACAGCCACAGGCAACAGCCCCATGGCTGCCTCAAACCCCAGTGGGGGCTCCTCTGGACACACAGAGGCTGTAACCACTTGAGTTCCCCAGGACCAGGCAACACACCCCACTACACTGGGCTCTATAGAGAGCAGCTGGGCTGTCCTCTAATAAAAAAGCTGAAGCTGCCCTTTGTCCTCTGCTGGGAGCCACCTGCTCTGTTGGCTCTGCAGCCAGTGGGTGCGGCTGGGAGCAAAGGCAGGGGCCGCTGCAGAAGCCTCTGCCTTTCTTGCCCTATGCATGTGATACCTAAGGGAAGGGAGACCTGGCAGGGGAGCTCCACAGGAGATCAACACACTGGTCTTGTTATACTGGGCAGGCCCTGGGCTACCATGGCAAGGTGACAGGTGCATCCCTGCTCTAAGAGCACGATCTAGAGGAGTGTGGCCAGGTGGATGAGCTCATACACCAAGGCAGAAGAGCTTTGAGGGCCATGGGGACAGAGCCTCAGGCTGGAGCAGGACTTCCACGGAGGCTGCACGGAGGACTTTGCTGGCCAACTGAGGGACGCTGCAGGTCAAGACATCCTGTCTGGGGGCCTGAGGCACCAGTGAACTGTCGCGAGGCAGGTATGAAGCGGGGGAGGCAGACAGCAGGAGTCAGGGGATGTTCAGATCTGGAGACCAGGTCCAAGGCCACCCAACTTACCAGGAGGCCAAGACCCACTTGTACCTGGGACTTCTCAGATCCACCCCGTGTCCTCCCACGTGGCCTCAGATGAATGCTCCAGCCACTTGGCACCAACTTCCTACCCAAGACCATCAGAGAATCATGGCAGGGCTGGCAGGAAGGTCCAAGTGTTTGTCATATGGTGGCTACTGTCTTCATTTACACTTATTGCAGTAGGCTTTGCAAGGGAATAGATTTAAAACAGGATATATAATTTATAACATTATTTTATAATGTTCTCCCAAAAAGTCAAATGCAGAGGAGTGCAAGAGATCTGTCCACACACTAGAGATCTGAAGAATTCAGCCAAGTGCCTGGCGTCCATGGCAATGTCCCACACAAGTCCAGCTAAAGTCCTAGAGCCCAAGGCAATGTCTTCCATGAGTCCAGCCACAGGCCTAGAGCCCACAGCAATGTCTCATGCAAGTCCATACCGAGGACCCGCACCTCAAAGACCCAAAGACCAGTGGTGGAAGGCACAAAGCCTGTGGAGGTGGGGTAAAGAATTTGAGCCACCAGGCTGAGTGATCTACACTGGTGGCAGGAAGTGATGCTCAAGGCAAAGATCAGGAATCCCCTGATGGGATCAGCGGCCGTTCCCAGTGACAGTGAGGCCCCGAGCTCCTCTTCTACAAAAATAGCCAAGTCGGCCTCAGGAAAACAGCCTCAGCAAGCTTCTCCAAGAAAATCAAAAGATCTTCTCCTCCTCCACTTCTCTTTTTATGCCATTGGCAACAATGCTCAGGTGGGTCTTCTGTGCCCAAACCACGCTGAACTTCCGTTCAGATGGGCGTTCCAAGTGGACTGGAAGTTAATTCACCACAACCATGTGCATTTTGGAGTGCCAAGCTGACCTCTAGCAGTCATCCTTATGGGGGTACAAAGTTCAGTGCCAGGAGTGCCTGTAATTCGAGCAGCGTCCTGCTCACGGCAAGGGCCCATGGTCGGGATGGGGCAGTCACCAGAAAACTGTGCACTAATGAGCTGTGCCTTCCAAGGGCCAGCCCTTAGGTGCCAGGCACTGCAGGTCACAGTCCTCACTCATTCACTCCTCTTAGGGCAAGCAAAGGCAGCGGGCTTTATGTTCCTTCCCAAGGCACAGGAGACATCATGGACTGAGGTTAAAGCCACAGTGCAGCGTTAGGGTCCTCACCCGAGATGCGGGCTCTCAGCTACAACACTACACTCTTTGTTTGTGATAGTCTAGGAATGACCGGTAGAGCCATTCCTGGAATTTATTGTTTTAGTAGAACACACCTGCCCTTCCTCAACACAGGTACCTCCTGTGTTATGGGGGTAAAATACACTGCATTAGTGGATCCTCTGGAAGCTGCCACATAAGACACAGCACTTCAAATCAATGTGACAAGGATTAGGCTTGGTGGCTCATTCCTGAAAGAAATCCCAGCGCTCTGGCAGCCTGAGGCAGGAGGAGCCCGAATTTGACACTGGCCTGGGCAACTCAGTGAGCTATAAAAAATAAAACAGGGATGTGGATGGGGCTCACCTCTAAGGCCCCTGGCTTCAATACCCAGGACCCAGTGTCAGTACAAGAAAACAAGCAAACTGTGTATCTTTCATCAGTTCAGACTGGGGACGTTCACCTGAGATTGGAGCAGCCTGAAGAAGAGATGCAGAGCCGTGGACTGCGTTAAACATCTTTTGTTTTTTTGGTACCGGGGATCAACTTGGGACCTTGTGCTCGCGAGGCAGGCGGCAGAACCACTGAGCTAAATCCTTGGCCCTCGGGTTAAACATCTTGGTTCTGCTGCCCAGCCATAGTCTATCTGTGTAGCAGCTGTTCTTGCTGCCCCCACCCTCTACACTTGCAGAAGTCTGTGGCCCACTAGGCAGCCATTCTCCCAGCAGTCCTTGGCATCTTAGTCAACATTTGTACAAAAATACAGGACAGTGGCAATATGCCAGGGTCAACCTTGGTTATATAAGTTGTTTATACCGCCAGCACTTCGACCTTTGCCCCAGACATTATTCACATTGGGGTACTGGGAGATGGGCCTACTCTGAAGTTCTGCTGACTTGGAATTAATGTGGCCGAAAATCACCCCCACCCCCATCCAGAACCAAATGGTAGCCATCTTTGGCTTCACTTTTCGCTACTCCCTGTCTCATGCTCTTCCTGGTGGCTCTGGGGCTGATGGCCATTGCAGGCTGCAGATTGTCAGGGCCACAGCTGAGCTGGAGAGGGGCATGAAAAGGTACAGAGCAGGTTAGAAACACTACCAAGCTGGCTGTTCTTCTCACGGGAGAGACACTCTTCTTGATAAATAATCATGGCTTGTGAAATTTTACCTAAGTCCCACATTTTGGAAGAAACTAGGTCTGGGCTGATGATTTGGAGAGGGGCTGCTGGTGATGGACCTCAGAGGCACTGCAAACGGTAAGGATGATGTGTTGTACCCCGGAGCCGCATGGCACACCGTGGGTTCTGATGACTGTGGCTCCTTTGCAAGGCTTGCTGGGGCTGCGAGTTCCCGGATACACGGTGTTCCGGGTTCCACTACTCAGGTGAGGGGTCTCGAGGAGCCTCCCATGCCTTTGAATATCCTTCTTCACACGGGACTGGCAGCTTGGTAGCTGGAGACTTCTCCACGGCAAGCACTGTTCCTACTGAACTTTGAGGACATTCCCAGGGTCTCATCCGTCCACAGGCTGGTGCTCAGAAATCTTGTGCTATGAGAATTCCCCAACCTGATAGCACTATGCGTCACAACCTGGTGGTCTCAGGCTCCCGCTGTGGATACTGACTGTGCGGCCCAGGGTACGTGGTGCTCACGTGTGGGGAGGATGTCAAGACCTTGTGCACACACCAGGAGGGTCACAAAGCCTTGTCACTTGCATCACTGAGGCCTCAGGACGCACAGGGCAGGGGACTCAGCAGGTCCAAAGCAGATGGAGGGAGCCAGGAAAGGAAACTGGCCTGGCGCTGAGGGTTGTGGGCAGGGTGCAATAGGAAGGGCTTGCTCAAGTGGGCAGGGACTTGGTAGTGTGACTCTCCAGAGGGAGCCCCAGGAGAGAGCCCTAGACTGTTCTCCTGTGTAAGGCTGTGGGGCAAAGGGAAGGACAGAGGATGCTTAAGACCTGGCAGCAGGCGCATGTCAATGGAGTCCCCTTCCTCTTCATGCAGGGAACTGGCCCAGCCAGCCCGAGGCTGTGAGCCTCCTGAGTGAGCTGCCTGCCCTCCTGCCTCCTCCCCGGGGAGCCCGTGTTACTCTCCCTGCTGGCTCATACCTAACCTTTTATCCGCATCAGAGGGTACCTGGACCTGGGCAAAGATTTCTCCCAGCAAAGGACCCACAAGCATGGCTCTTGGTGCTTGTTAGAGTCCTCGATGGTGGAGAAGATGCAGGATGGCCAGTGCCTGCAGCCCCAGCTCCGGAGAAGGTCTGTGCCCGCTGGTTCCCAGCCTTACACCCTTGAGATGTGGAGCCAGGACTGAGAAAGGGTTCCCAAATTTCTTGAGTTTCTGCTTCCATGAGCCCAGCTGACTCCTTTCAGAAGCCCTAAAGCTGCTCAGACAAACCTGTGTCTTCCTCTCTTCTCCTCTCATCTCTGCTCTCCACTCTCCTCTCTCCAGCTAAAGGAACACTGCTTCTTGTCCCCAAGCCCTGTCACCATTGTGGGTACTCTGCAGTAGCCCAGGGTGCCCTGGGGGCCTTCTGACATTGAGTCAAGTACCAGGCCAAGGTCCATGGAGTGCTGGGGAGGGGGGACCTCCCTGACCTTGGTCTGGATCCTGCAAGGTCCCCAGGAAAGGAGCCTTCCAAGTGGTCTTCCCTCTGAGTGGCTGTGGTCCCTGTCCCGGGCTCTTCCCTAAATGCACCAGAGGCTTGCCTGAGACTCAGGGAAGCTTCTTCTCATAGATACCCTTGAGCACTGCCCTGTACCAAGTTCCAACCTGACAAGTGGAGGCTGGAGTGGTGCAGAGGACAGCAGTCAGTGCCATTCCTGAGACCTGCAGGCCAGTATGGCTCACAGGCCCAGAACTCAGGACAGGAAGATAGAACTCGGGAGCCACCTGGTGCGACCATCTTGGGTACAGGGGGAACAGTGGGGAGCGTTGGGCCCAGGGTCACTCGGTATAGAGGCACTGCAAGGTATGGGAGCATGTTCTCTTCCCGTCTGCAGCCCACTCCAGTGCCCAAGGATGAAAGCTCTCCCTGGGGAAGGCCTGCAGGCCACGTCCCTCATTTCCTGGGCCTGGCCAAGCCCATGGGCCCTACCAGACCCAGTCGTTTAGAGGATGGTGGCCTGTGTTACAGCCCAGTGTCCTCACCTACAGGTGACGCTGGCCTGAGAGGCAACTCACTGTACAGGGCCCTGGACTCCAGCATCACTTGGTGCCAGGGAATGAGGCCATCGTGCCTTCTGGTGACCGAGAGGCTCAGGAACATGGCTATGCCTTGGACTTCCATGGGTCCTTCTAGACAA